CTTGGAACTCTCTCAACAATAAAAAAAATACGAAAGGGTAGATTATATAATGTATTGAGTATATAATGACCAATATTTACTCACAAACATATATTCATCTTTTGTAAAGGGGTGTGTGTTTCCATTGTGTGTGTGTGTGTGTGTGTGTGTGCGCGCGCGCGTGTATAAAATATCAGTAAAGATACATGTCAGGCTGTTAACATGGTTTGAATTTTGATATGGGACCCAGTGGGGTGGAATTAATGGATGTATTCACTTATAAAATTTTATTGTTTTATACTGTTTTGGTCATTTAAATGAAATAAACTGCTTAAATTTAAACTGGGTTGCTCAGAAATGAAACTAGGATTTAAAACATATGCTTCTCCCTCTACCTCACTGTCTCCAGGATGAAGGAAAGAACATCCATTGGAGCATAACAGCTTAATCAACATCCAAATAATGAGAGGTGTTTTTCCCAGGAGCAGATGCAACTTCACTGCAATCTTCATCTCCATGAAAGTTACAAAAGTAGCAGCTGAAAAATTATATCTCTTCATTTGGTGTGGATGCAGAAAGTACATTCAGACTGGCTAGACAGGGAAGGTCTTTTTTCCATGGGTAAAACTAATATTTCTCCAGAGAAATCAGGACCAACTCTTATTCTTAGGATACAGAACAAGGGGGGAGCAAAAAGCAATAAGGAGTCCTACTCTCAAAGGGACATCTCCAATTTTTCGTTCCTTTTCCATTCCATCTCCCCCTCCTCAGCCTAGGAAAAAAAAAGCATATGTTGATGGACCCCATTCCCAGCTGTGGCCCCCAGTACAGTCACTCAGGTGCCAGTGGCAGGTTTTTGATTCCTGGGGATTTAAAAATACAAGGTTATCAGAGCCTAATGCCATCAGATATTGAAGCTATCCAACTCCCTCCCCTCACACTATACCTTTACATCTTAAATTGGCTTCCTGTGCACATTCTTCTACAGTGGAAGAATTTGCTGGACATGGCAAGGTGAGCATTCTGGCCTCTTTGGCAGTTAAATTTCTCATCATACATTTGGTTCTTTTGCTTAGATAGCAGGGTAGGAACTGAGTTAGTATGCTGTACTTCCCGATAGCCTCCTTCCCCCCAGTATATAGGCTCTTTCTTAGTGCTGTTTAAGTCAAGATTATGAGCCTAGACCATGATGAATTTGCCAAGGTAAATGTCACCTCTGAGGCTACTTGGCAACTGGCCAGCCAGCTTGTGCTGATGACACTCCTATCTCTTCAAGCACATTTCCTGCAGGCTCCTGTGCTTTCTAGCACATTCATCTCAACCAGCTGCCTTTTTCTTTACTCCCCATTCTGTCTTTTTCCTTTGTGTCTATAATTCTATCTCTCTCTTTCTACCTCACTGCCTAACCTTTTTATTTCCATTTTCATCTTTATTAACCTTGTAATTAATAAAATGTGCCAGAACTATGTGGCAAGCACTGTGCTGATCATAAACACACAAATTATATTCTGACCTCACAATAACACTGAAAAGTGTTTTCATTCCTGATTTACAAATGGGTGAGTAGAAGTTCATAAAGACTAAGTAGTTGTGTTTGATAATTTAAAGAGTTTCTCTGCTTAGTTTTCAAAGTCAAGAAAGAAAATGCTTTCTGCTTCCTTTATCTTAGAAACATACAGCTTAAATATTTGTTTATAACTTCCATCTCATTTTTGCCTGTGAGTCTATTGTCCTAGCAAATAATTCACCTTTGGTATACTTCTTTTTTCCTAGGCTGACGAGGGGGAGATGGAATGGAAAAGGAACGAAAAATTGGAGATGTCCCTTTGAGAGTAGGACTCCTTATTGCTTTTTGCTCCCCCCTTGTTCTGTATCCTAAGAATAAGAGTTGGTCCTGATTTCTCTGGAGAAATATTAGTTTTACCCATGGAAAAAAGACCTTCCCTGTCTAGCCAGTCTGAATGTACTTTCTGCATCCACACTAAATGAAGAGATATAATTTTTCAGCTGCTACTTTTGTAACTTTCATGGAGATGAAGATTGCAGTGAAGTTGCATCTGCTCCTGGGAAAAACACCTCTCATTATTTGGATGTTGATTAAGCTGTTATGCTCCAATGGATGTTCTTTCCTTCATCCTGGAGACAGTGAGGTAGAGGGAGAAACACCCCTTTGATCTTACCTCAGATGGAATCTTGGAGAAGTAGAATCAAATACAGGAGTTTCCAGATAGGTTCCAGACCCCTTCATTCTTACTGCAGGTAGTAAGGATACTTTCCTCCTGGAGACTCAAATCACAAGAACTTGGTTATAGGTTTGAGGAGTAGGCAGAGAGCTCTAGTCCAAGGATCAGAGTCAGGAAGCAGAGAAATCCAGGTGCAGTTGTAAGTGAAGGTTTGAGATGCTAATAGGTTCAGCACCACGGACAGAAACACTGCGGACACAGGTCTACAAATTGTTTAGCACCCCAGCCAGAGTCATCACCCTGCTTGCCAGTCAGCCCCAGCTCCCACTCTCAGAGTGCTGGCTATTCCAGGGAGGGATCTAGCTTGGCCCTTGGTTGGCTGAACCCCAGCTTTTAAGGGTCACAATAAACTGTGGTTTAATTTCCTTTTAAGGTCTTCCTGAATCTCTTTGCTGAGGTGTGTATTTCGCAGCCTCGTGGTAGAGTGGATTCCACCTTGGAGTGACTCTTCTTAAGATATGACTGATTTGCATATATCCATTTACATCGGAACTTCTCTGCTCTGGTATTATTGTAAATGAATTGTTCAGAGGAAAAAAGAGGTTTATTTCATTCATTTCCTCACTCACTCCTTGGGTCTCAATTTGGCAATTTCCCTAAAATCTCTGTAGGTGTGTGTGGCTGGGAGAGGGTGGGACTCAGACTCCTGACAGCTTGGAGTTTGTTGGAGGATCCTATATTGTGTTCTGCAGATATGTCTCCCACCTGTTTGGCTCAGGAACGATCCTTGCAAGGCTCACAGGGAGTGTGTATTTTGTTTTAGCACATGGGGTCAAAACCTTTACGCTGAAGTCCCTGGAGCTAGGTAAGAAGGCATGGCTGGTGCCCTAGAGACTGCAAATGGGATGGGACCAGGTTTTGAAGAGAGAGGTGAGGGGTGGTGCAGGGAGGTCTCATTTTAAAATGAAAGGAGTCCTGGGTCTCTAAGCAGTTTCTAAAAATACCATCTCCCAGCGCTAGAGGAGGTGGAGGGGGGACGCAAACGTGAGGAGAATGAAAATGGGAAGGTGGAGATGTAAGAGCCCTTCTCCAGGTAGATTTGGTTTCAGAGGCCCCACCTACCACGGGCAAGATGCCACCCCTCCTTCTGCTTCCTCAGCGAGTTTCTCTGGGTGTCTGAGCCCCAGTGACTCCTGATGGCCTCTCCTTTTATGGACAAGGGAGCCTAATTCCTCCCAGTCACACTTACTAATACTCCCGTCCAGCAAGCAAGTGTGCATGTACACACACACACACACACACACACACGCATACACAAGGGGGTGGGGTGGAGAATGGCACATGAAAGCGGTTTGTAATTGGCCAGTGCCCTACAATACAGTGCCAGGAGTCCTAGTGCTTCAGACGGGTATGAATTGTGGCAGAGACTGGGTCTTTCACCCAGGTATTCTCAGCACAGAGGTCGGCACCCAGTAAGTGTTGGTTGGAGGGGTGAGGAAAACACACATACAAAACACACAGACACTCAGCCACCAGACTCACGCTTATTCCCAAGCCTTCACCAGCTACTATGCCCTCCAACAGGACAGTGTTTGGGTCCCCCCAGAAAAGAGCCCTGAAGAGCCACAGGGTGGGTGGAGCTTACACCGCTCAAGTTCAGCCCAGATGGTGGCGCTCAGTAGCCGCCTTCTTCGTCCTGGAGGGCCCCAGCCCTTCCCACCACCTTCCCACTTAAAACCCCAGCTTGCACATAAATGACCTTCACTAGATAGAGGTCGTGTTCTGCGTCTCCTCGCCGCTTCTTCTGCCCTGACTGAACTCTTTGAGTATTGCTCCGCCTCTCACAGACGCCCTGGGGTCCGGGCAGCTGCTCTCCTCAGCAGTCCCCTGGGGAGGGCGGGGTGGGATGATCAAGTAGGGAACTCCAGACGGGGACCTGACTGGGGAAAGGGGTGGTTGTGGAGAGAGCTGTATTCTGTTTCCTGGCAGCAGGAAGGAAAGCTAGAGGAACCGATCATTCATGCAAAATCTACCACCACCCCTTTCTGGCGTCCACATGGTTCCCGAGCCTCGGAAGCGCTGCTGGTAGGGTGAGACTCGGTCTCGCATTTTGCTCTTTCTCGAGCAGCTCCTGGGGTCTGGCTTGGCCCCTTCCTCCTGCCGTGTGTGTGTGTGTGTGTGTGTGAGAGAGAGAGAGAGAGAGAGAGAGAGAGAGAGAGAGAGAGAGAGATCGTAGAGGGCGGGGAGAGAAGGGGGCGGGATTGAGCCGGGAGAGAGGAGCCACAGACACACCAAGAAGGGTTGGGAGATGGAGGAGCTCCCCAGAGCTGGGGTCAGGACATCAAGCTTCAAAACCTCCTGCAAGTCCAGGGAACAAGGGAGCTTTCAGCCTAGCTCAGCGGCTGCATGTGTCGATGCCTCCCCGCGGTTCGCCCCTCCTTAAGCCACGCCCACGTTGTCTACTTCTCTGCAAAGAGGCTAAGGTTTAGGGTTCTTGGCTACCAGTGCCAGCTCATCCCCCCTCCTCAGAAGCCCCACTAGCGCTCAGGGCTGTCCCACCGCCCCCGCCCCCCCACGATTTGCAGATTGGCGGGACCCCTTCCTTCCCCCTTCCAGCTCTCTGTTCCGCCCCTCGTCTATGAAACTCCACCTCTCCATCCTCTGCTGGCGGGCATTGGTGGACCTCCCGCGGCGGTGGCTGGTGATTGGGCCCCATGGATGATGGTAACTGACGAGATCCCGCCCCCAGCCGGTGCTGGGGTCTGGGGGCACTGCTCAGCGGTGCTGGGGCTGGCGCGGCTAGAGCCGCCGCTGCACTGACAGCTCGGGCTGCGGACCATGGAGACCGGCGCCGGGCCACATCCGCTGCGTCTGTTCGTCTGCCTGATGCCGCTCTGTTTCGCGTTGCTTTTGGGACCAGGGAGACCCGGGACTGCTGAGGAAGGTGAGGAAACTGGTTGGTGGCTGTTCTTAGAGCATGGGATGCCAAGAGGTAGGGACTGAGGAACTGGAGTGTTAAGGAAAGGAGTCGTATGGAGAGATTGGAGTCTGTTTTGGGGTTCGAAGCAAGCGGGCAACGGGAAGCAAAGAAAGAGAAAGATCAAACAGAGGAAAAGAGACGGAGAAAAAGGTGGCTAAGCAATGCAAAGGAGAGGCAATGAAGAGCCTGGGGGCTGGAGACCTGGGGATCTGGGGGCGAAAGAGGCCAATAACTGTGGGAGCAAGAGGCGGTGGTTCAGGGGCCGGTGAGACGGACAGGCTGAGCGATTGGAGGTGGGAGGTGTGGGGGCGGGGAGATGAAGAAAGCAAAGGAGACAGGAGATGCGGAGGTAAAATCGGAACATGTGGGGATGGAATGGAGACAGAACAGGGGAATAAGGGACCCCTGTGCGCAAAAAGGAGATGGAGCGCCGGTCGGGGGCGCTGGGTCCAGAAGCTGTCCGACGTGCTGATGAGGGAGCTGTCCGCAGTGCTGAATCTGGAGCGTAGACTGCACAGCGCAGTCTGCGTTGCCAGGTTTGAGGCTGCCCGCGGTATGAGGGTCCGTATCTTTTTGGATGCGGGAGATTCTGATATTGGATTTGGGGGGAACTGTCTACCCACTTGAATCCACCATATGCAGGTGCAGAATCATGAGGAGCTGGAATCTGAGGCGTTGACCACCAGGTTTGTCTGGTTGTTGGATTTCTGACATTTTCCAATAAGCAATTTCAGTGTGCTGTCAGTTACACTGAAATCGGAATGCTGTCTGAGGTCCTTACCACTGTCACTTATGCGTCGGGAGCTAATATTCTTAGAGGTCCTCACATTGGAGATCCAATGCTTAAGCTTTAGATGAGTAACCTTCTAAGATTTCAGGATGGCCTGGGCTCCTTTTCTGACATGCCACTGTGCTTTCCAATGTTTTTGTGGGACCTATACTGATGGCAGAATTCAGACAGATGGTCCGATGCCTCCCGGGGAAATGACTTCAAGTCTGTGTGGCATAAGAGGGGTCATGATTTAATATATAAAAAGACCCTTGACATACATTCAAAGATGGTGGAGGTGGCAAAATGCTGGGAAAGAGGATGATTGAGATAAGAGATCATTATTTCTCCTCTGCTAATATGTTTTCCCCAGAGGTCCTGAGAGTCAAACTGTAAAGGCTCAAGTCTCCTCCACCCCTGGTAACCCCAGACCTCAAAGGAGCCCCTGAGCTGGAATGGATTTGGAGACATATACAGGACTCCCCTGATAGGCTCATTTTCTCCCTCTTCATGACTCCCAGTTATAATTTGGGGAAGCTGAGATAGCAAGGAACTCACTGACACCTCTCCCCCTCCCCCCATTTTAGAGCCAGGCTTAGAATACTTACCATAGACTGTGTCAGGGTGAATAATGACTCCCTAAATATGTCCACATTCTAATCACCAAAACCTGTGAGTTTTGTCTTAAGTGGCAAAAGATTTTGCAAATATGATTAAGGATTTTGAGATGGAGATGTTATCCTGGGTTATCTGAGTGGGCCTGGTGTAATCATAGTAATTCTTATAAGATGGATGCAGAAGGAGTCAGAGAAGAAGGCAATGCAATAATAAAAGCAGAGATTGGAGAGATGCACTTTGAAGATGGATGATGGGGCCACAAGCCAAGGAATACAGGTCACCACTAGAAATTTAAGAAGGGAAGGAGATGTATTCTCCTTTCTGAGCATCCAGAAGGAACCAGTCCTGCTGACCAATGAAACTGATTTCCAACTTTTGACCTCTAGAACTGTAAGAGAATAAATTTCTGTTGTTTTAAGCCACAAAGTTTGTGGTAATTTGTTATAGCAAATTAATATAGACTCCTCCCCTACCTCTGGGGCTACCTCTGTCTGGACTTGAGCTCCTCACTCCCAACCCCTCCTGGGTATGTATGGAATGAGATCACTTTGTCTCTGTCCTTTGCCACGTTTTCCATGACAAGTAGCCAATTTACAATGACCTTACCAAAGTATCCCACCTTCCTGACTTTCTGACATCTCTGTTCTCTCCTCTCCCTAGTCACCCTCCTGGATTCCAAATCTTCCCAGGCTGAACTAGGCTGGACTGCACTACCAAGTAATGGGGTAAGTGTAAATGTTTCCTTTCCAGTCCTAAGGATTCTCTGGTGGTCCAGAAGTCAGTGTTAGTCCCTCATGGTTACATAAGAGCAAAATATTTCTCAAAGTATGTGATCTCCAGCATCCCTGGCTTCAAGTCAGAGTGTCCTATTAGAAAACATTGAGTCTTCAGTCAGACTGTCCAAAACAAGTGAGGGAGGCTGTGTCTAGGAACAGAAATGTGACATCTGGATGAAATCAATCCTGGACAGTGCCTTGCACAAGGTAGATCCTCCAAGCAATGTTGTTGATTGATGGGTTGACAGAACAAGCAAGACTTGGAATCCCGAAATAATTGAAGTGGAGAAGGAAACTTGGGTTGGGTTAGATGTGGCATGTGACAACAGCTTGGTATCATGGAAAGTGCACTGGATGGAATGCCAGGGGATTCCAGACATCATTCCTAGCTCTGCTGTTACTTCAATGCACATATTTAGTCAAGTCACTCTCCTCCTGGAGCCTCAGTTTCTCCATCTATAAATTAGGGCTTGGACTAAGTAGTCTCTGATGTTTTTTCCCAGCTCTGCATCTTATAATTCCATGAATGTGCATGGTGGGGTGGGGTGGGGAGAGAATATGAAATAATGGGAAAGGATTTTCAGACTGAGGCTCCACCAGGGCTCCACCCCCTGGCGGTACCTTGGCTCTGAGCTGCCCACATCTTTGCTCTCCCCAGTGGGAGGAGATCAGCGGCGTGGATGAACATGATCGTCCCATCCGCACATACCAGGTGTGCAACGTGCTGGAGCCCAACCAGGACAACTGGTTGCAGACCGGCTGGATTAGCCGTGGCCGCGGGCAGCGCATCTTCGTGGAGCTGCAGTTCACACTGCGAGACTGCAGCAGCATCCCTGGTGCTGCCGGCACCTGCAAGGAGACTTTCAATGTCTACTACCTGGAAACCGAGGCCGACCTAGGTCGTGGAGGTCCCCGCCTGGGCGGAAGCCGGCCCCGCAAGATCGACACCATAGCGGCCGATGAGAGTTTTACACAGGGCGACCTGGGCGAGCGCAAGATGAAGCTGAACACAGAGGTGCGCGAAATTGGCCCTCTCAGTCGGCGGGGTTTCCACCTGGCCTTCCAGGATGTGGGCGCATGCGTGGCCCTGGTCTCTGTGCGTGTCTACTACAAGCAGTGCCGCGCCACGGTGCGGGGCCTGGCGATGTTCCCAGCCACCGCAGCGGAAAGTGCCTTCTCCACGCTGGTGGAGGTGACCGGGACGTGCGTGGCGCACTCAGAAGGGGAGCCTGGCAGCCCCCCGCGCATGCACTGTGGCGCGGATGGTGAGTGGCTGGTGCCCGTGGGCCGCTGCAGCTGCAGTGCTGGATTCCAGGAACGTGGTGACGTCTGTGAAGGTACCCACTAGACTGGGGGATGTGGTGTGGGAGTGTAGTGCACAGGAAGCAACTGAGTGTGTATCCTGGATGACAGAGGTAGGAGGAGGAGTAAAGTAATGGGTTGTGGAGCTTCCAGTGGGTCCAGCCAGGACTGAGTTAAGTTCCTAGCACATGAATTTTACTCCATAGAAGGGTATTTTAGGGGCTTATATTTCAGGAAGATCACGTAGTCCTCATTTGTTTATGGCAATAAATAAATTGTTGTCCTTATTTCACTAATGAAGACTTAGAGGCTCAGAGAGGTTAATTCTTGACTTGCAGAGGCAGGAAATAGGGGACCAGATTTGCCCGGCTCTCTCGAGTTCTTTCTACAACACTACGCTGTCTTCTCTATGCATAAGAGAGAACTCCACAGCAGCCCAACCCCACTAGCTATGGACTGGAATTACTTACATTATCGATCTGTCACTGACAATTCCCAAGTCAGAAGTTAACAGGAGGGTTTTGGAACTCAAGTGAGATTGGGAGGTGCATTCTATGACTAGATTCCTACCTAATTTTCTGAACTAGAACCATAGTGCCCCCTGGGGGAGATCCTGCATGTAGGGGTTCTATTGGGTTCTCAGGTCTGTGGGGGGCACCACGTATGAATTTCTCCTTTTCTCCCCATCTCTGCCTCTGAGGACTGAGGATAAGGTTGGGGTATGGGTGTGAGCACTTAATGTAGAAAGATCAAGAGATGCTTTTTCTAAGCCAGGTCCTTTTCCGGGTGCCAGGGTAACAGAAATGAATCAGTTATAGTCTTGGCTTTTGAGAATCTCACAGTCTCGATGGAGAGTTGAAAAATGTAAAAATCACAACAGGGTGCTATATGCTATAATACAGGGATTTCTACAGTGGTAGGAATGCAGAGGAGGAAGTGACTAAATCTGCTGCTCTCATTCCTTTGTTCAATCATTCATTTGATATGGATTGAAGGCATACCATCTGCATTTACTGAGGGCTCATCATATGTGTAAAGATGGATGCCACCATTTCTTTCCTGAGGGGAACTTGTGGTTTAGTAAGGAGCTTCACGTCGTGAATCTTCCTGGGCTCTGCTGGTAGGGTGAAGCTCCACCTCTGTGCTCTCCAGCTCTGTTGCAACCTCTTTTGTACTTACATACTTGAAGCTCTTTACAGAGACCTATTCATTGAGTGTTTGTATCACTAGACTAGGAGCTTCTTGAATTCAAGCAATGAGTCATTTTAGTCGCAGCAACCCCAATGTCCACAAGAGGGATGGACTATGGTAGGTCCAGCGGAAATGTGTGGTATGAATAAAGGTCATTACTATGGGTATGATATATTTCATCAGAGAGCTGGGGAAGACTGGAGACCCAAGTCTAAGAGTGGAGAGAGATAGCAAGAAGGCCTTTCTTCCAAGCAGCCAAAGGCATTCTGACTTAGGAGATTATGTGCAGAAGCATGGAGGCAAGAGAGAACATAGCATGGCTGGGGTGAGGCAAGTCAGTGTGACTGACTTGGGGCCCCAGGGCATTTGAGTAGTTGAGAGGCAATGGTTGTGAGAGGGGCAGGGGACCATCACGAAGGGCCTAGAACATTGGAAGAAAGAGCTTAGATATAATGCTTTAGACCAACAGGGAAGATATGAAACAGGGATCTGACATGTTCAGATTTGTATTTTCAAAAGATCACTCAAGCTGCAATCACAAATAAAGAATCAGAGAGGAAAATATTAGAGACTGGAAGATGAGGAGGAAGATGGTACAATAGTCCAGGAGAAAGAGTGCATGGTCTGAACTTGGGCAGTAGCAGAGCTCACTGAGTGAGGAGGATGGATGTGATGCGAGTGCATCCACAGAGCTTGGTAGCAATGTGGTGTATGGAGGGTTGAGTGGACAGAGGGTCATTCACTGGAGTAGAGAACACAGGGTGTGGTGTCCATGGTCCACTCAAGTGCAGGTAGCTAGAAAGTAGAGCTGGAGCTCAGCAACTGAGTGCTAGATACTACCGGAGGCTATGGGTGTCATGGGGGCAGACCAGGGAGAATGTGTGGGTTAGAAGCAAGAGGGCCAGTGATGAAGTCTCACAGGTCACAGTGTTTGAGGGGGATCAGGAAAAGGAATCCATGATGAGACTGAGAGGGAGTGGGCAGAGGTTGGGGGAGATCTGGACGCGTCAATTCGTGGTAGCCAAGGGAGACAGAGGCGTCCAGGAGGCAATGGCCTACAGTGTTGGTGAGCCATCTGATAAGGTCCCCGCTGGAAAATGTGTCTGGTGCCCCTAGTGAGAGTAGCTTTGGTTGAGTGATGGAGAGAGAGACCGGGCTATAGGATGAGGGAAAGTGAGGTGCTGGAGTGAGGGTATAAACAGTTCTCTAATGGCTGGATTTGAAAGTGTTGGTGAGTGGGGCATATCTTGAGGACATTGGGTTGAGAGAGGATGATTACCATAGAAGGGAGAGTCTCAATTTATAGTCTAAGGGAAGGAAATAGTGGGGTATCATCTGTGTGGGGGGAGGTAGGGTGGAGAAGTCTTCCCCAGAGGGAGGAAGTACTTTATTACTGATGTGGGCTAGAGTTGCTGGTGCATACTGCTAAAAAAAAACCACAGGCCATGTTTTAGCTACTTTTATTGTTTTTCTTTTTCTTTTTTTAAAGATTTTTTTTTTATTTATTTATACAAGCACTGGGTACAGTCAGAAGTGTGGGAGGGTGAGAGAATTCACCAGAGCCAGAGCGGGGAACAGAATAGGCAGACTGACGAAGTACACTGCTGAGGGGAGCAGTGGGCGCAGCAAGAGAGGTCTGCGCGCCATGTGGGACCCTCGCTGGCGGCCAGGGATCGAACCGGTGCTGCAGAGGCTGCAGGTAGCTTTGTAGCCCAGTGCTTAACCACTGCGCCACGAGGGGAGGCCCCTACTTTTATTGTTTTTAAATAGTCTATAGATGATGCCCTTATCCCCTGCACCCCAAGTGGACTGTTTTTACTGTCCATTTCTTTGCTCTGTCACTGGAAAGAGCCAGCAGAGAAGAAGCCTGTGTGAGAACCTGGATGTAAGGCGACTGAAGAAATGCAGTCTGGGAGTGGGCAAAGGGACTGGCCCCGGAGTGGGGGGAGGGGCTGGCTTTCAACAGGAGGTGGCTCATCTTCTCCACTGGGCCTGGAAGAAAGGCGTGAGGGAAGATGGGTATGGATGGAGATGTTTGTGGGCTTGATGGCCAGCTGTTGAGGGAATCCCTGTGAGGTCGGAAGGAGGGCCGCTGCCCCGGGGAGAGGAGGAGCCTTGTATCTCCAGAGCCTAGAACAGCCCCTGGCTCATAGTAGATGCTAGGAAAATACTGGTTGAATAAATGAAAGGAATGGGCCTGGAGGGAGAGGTGTGGGCACATACTTGGCGTGGGGGGGTGGGGGCGGGTGGAAGAGAGAAAGAGATTCAGGAACCAAATGGACTTCTCAGGGAGGCCACCACCAGACAAAGGTCACTTGTAATGGCATAAGCTCTGACTTGGGGAGGATGCTGGACAAGCTCACGAGGGAGTATTGTCTTGAACTGATCTCTAGGGCAGCACAGTGAGAAGGGGAGTCAGACATTATAGGGCAAGAGTCAGCGGTATGGCACAGACAGAGTGATGGCAGTGGGGAGCTGCTGCAGGGCTTTAAGAAGGGAAGTGAAATGGTCAGCTTTGTATTGAGAAAGGTAAGGCCTTCCCAGTGCCTTCTGCAGCTAAGTACAGACCCCTCTCTAAGAACAGGTGGGTATGGAGAGGGAAGAGTTAAGATGTTCTCCCCCTTTCTGCTTCTCTTTCTAGTCACCCTGGCTCTGGTTCCCCCTCTCCCAGTCACCTGAGAAATTACTGAAAGACTTGGGGTTTCCCTTGGGGAAAAATCAGGGCAGATGACCTGTGCCTTCAAATCGCTGTAGACTGCCCTGGAACAGGGCCCAAGCAGATATGCTCTCTAAGGTTCCCAGGGGTTCAGCGGGGGCGCGGGGAGTGGGACAGGCAGGGAACACAAGGACGTGCATTCTAACTGCAGAGACAGCCTCAGAAGTGGGTGGGCTCCCTTTTATAAAGTATATGAACAAAGACTGGCTATTTCTAGGGAAGCTGCTGGGGGACTGGCCCGTGGGAGCTGAACTAGAGGACCTCTGGAATTCTGACTCTGACCTTGAGGACAAGAGGGAGGGGCCAGGACTCCATTCCTGGGTCTTCCCCTCACCACAAACCTCTCCAAGTAGAGACAGTCAGTGTTATTTCTGATGGGGCTCCCCATCTCTGGAATCAAAGACACACACACATAGAGGGAGGGATGGAGGGAGAGAGAAAGAGAGAGAGAAAAGGAGCTTTTCCTACTGCTGTGAGACCCTGCAAACAGATCACTTTGTTTTGTTTCACAACAGAGGTGGGAGCCCTTGGTGATTACCCCATATGACTGTTGGTTTCTTCTGGACAAAGAGGCCCAGGGAGTGGCAGGGCTAGCACCAAGGCCTTCCGAGTCCCGCCTTGGTTGCTGCTGCCCACCAGACCACGTGTGCCAGGCTTTGTTCTGAAGGCAGCTGCTTCCAAATATTCCTGGGCAGAGGCTCTGGACTCTGGGCATCATGGACCTCTCAAGCCTGGACCTTCCAGACATTGGAAACCCTCCGTCCCTGCCCTTCTTCTCCCAGGCAGGCTGACGTTTCTTCCGGCAGGCTGGTCTGCAGCCCTCTGTTGCATTGTGTCTTAGACATAATGGGCTGGAGAGCAGTCATCCTTCCAGAACCAGCTCCTCTGGGAGTGTGTCACTGTCTGGTAACAGAAAGGGGCCTGTGCTCACATCAAGACTAGACAGTGGGCATTAGGGCAGCAAGGTGTGGGCTCGGAAGCCCGTCTACTTCAGTTGGAATCCCACTGTTTATTAGCTGTGGGACTTTGGAAAAGTCACTTAACCTCTCTGAGCCTTAGTTTCTCATTCTTTAAATGGGATACAGTACACACCTCACAGGTTGTTGTGAGGATTAAATGAATTATAAAACACTCCCCTGTTCTGGCACACGGTAAGCACTTAGTAAGGGTTAGGTAATATCGGGCGGGCGGTGAAATCCTGAGCTGCCATCCCAAAGGGGATGAGTCGTTGACACCCCCACCTCGTTCCCCGGTTACAACTGGAGAAGATAAACCCCATCCTAATGGGAGCAGGAAGGAAGGTGGGGGACACAGAAGCTGTGGAGGAGCCCCCTTCTTACTGGCTCCTCCCCACAGCCTGTCCCCCAGGGTTTTACAAGGTGTCCTCCCGGAGACCCTTCTGCTCGCCCTGCCCAGAGCACAGTCGGGCCCTGGAAAATGCCTCCACCTTCTGTGTGTGCCAGGACAGCTATGCTCGCTCCCCGACAGACCCGCCTTCAGCTTCCTGCACCCGTGAGTCCTTCTCCTGGGTACACTCCAGGGGGTGGGTGAGTGGGCAGCAGCCAATAAAGGCTTGCTTGAGATGTTGGTGCAGGTGGGAGCCTTCACAATGGGGAGCATGAGGGTGTGAGTGGGAGCCCGTGACTTGGAGGGCGGTGGGTGCAGGGAGGGGACTGTGGGGTGGGCATGAGGGCCGGGGTCTTGGCTTGGGCGAAATAGGACGACAGAGTCCAATGGGAAGGGATGAGGTGAGGCTTGAGGTGAGCCACCAACGGATCTGCTAGTGGACCCCCGCCGACCCCCGCTCTCACAGCACCCCACACTGCAGCCAGGGGGCGGCCTCCCGCCCCTCCATCCTTGTCCCTCATAACGGCCTCCACCCCACCGCTGGCCACGGCCACAAACCTCCCACGCCCACCTCCCTCCTTCTCAGCCCTCCCAACCCGACTCGCAGGCTCTGTCCCTGCTCCTCTCGCGGGCCCCTAGCCTGCACCCCAACCCGTCCCTGCCCCTCGCCGGCCACCACGCCCCCTCCCTCCCACCTCACCCCACGCCCCGCGCGCGCCCCTCCGCGCGCTCCCCAGCCCCGGGCCGCCCGCCGCCTGGCCCCTGACGGCGCGCGCCCCTGTGCCGCCCCAGGGCCGCCGTCGGCGCCGCGGGACCTGCAGTACAGCCTGAGCCGCTCGCCGCTGGCGCTGCGGCTGCGCTGGCTGCCGCCGGCGGACTCGGGCGGCCGCTCGGACGTCACGTACTCGCTGCTGTGCCTGCGCTGCGGCCGCGAGGGCCCGGCGGGCGCGTGCGAGCCGTGCGGGCCGCGCGTGGCCTTCGTGCCGCGCCAGGCCGGGCTGCGGGAGCGCGCCGCCACCCTGCTGCACCTGCGGCCCGGCGCGCGCTACACCGTGCGCGTGGCGGCGCTCAACGGCGTCTCGGGCCCGGCGGCCGCCGCGGGAGCCACCTACGCGCAGGTCACCGTCTCCACCGGGCCCGGGGGTAAGGTCGCCCCGCGCGCCGGGACCCCGCGCCCCCAGGGACCCGCCTCCCACCACGCCCGCGCCCTCCCGAGGCCGCCTCCGTCCCGCCCGCTGGGAGCCTCCCCCGTGCCCCGCGTCTCCCCAAATAAACGAGGGTCGGTGCCAAGCCAGCCTCAAGTTAGGCGTCCCGCGTTTCCCTGGGGGACGGAGTGGCCGCAGAAAGCCTCCACCCCGGGTCTCCCCCTCACCGCGGGTCAGTCCGGTCCCCAAGGCCCCGGGGGCCGGGGGGGCGGCGAGTGGGGGGAATGGCTTGAGGGCGCAGGGGACTCCTTGCCCGGAGCGCGTGTGAGCATTTCAGTGAGTCTGCGGGAGCCAGCAGCTCCCCCACTTCTGGGCTCCCAGAAAGCCTTGGCCCCACACCCAACTCCGCAGTTGCCTCGCCTTTGCTTTTCCGGGGGTGGGGGGCAAGATGGAGAGTCCCTTACTCTTTTGCCCTCCCTTCTCAAAAACTCCAGTGGGAAGCTGAATCTTACCTCCTCCTTCTCTGGCTCCAAAAGAGGAATCCTGTCGTGTGTCCCCTGCCTCCACCCCATGGCCTCTAGGAAGGTTTTTGCTGCCTTGATCACCCCCATTCCAGGTCCTGAGAAAGCCGCTAGGGTCAGACTAGAGGGGAGAGTCCCCTGGCCAAAAAAAACAATCACCTTCTGACTCTGGAACTGAGGTGACTAAATGAAGACCTGCGGCCCTTTCACCCTGCACTTTCCTCATTCTTGAAATTTCCTTGTGATTCCTCTCCCTCAGCTGGGGTACATCTTCAAACAATTCTTTGCAAAAAGGATCAGTGAGAGGTATGGCTTCTGAGTCTTTTCCTACGTGAAAGCATAGGATTAGCTTGTCTCCTGGCGGTTGTGTTGCAGAGCGGTCTTGAGGCCAGGATAATTGTTCATTCTTTTGTAAGTAATCTGCCTATGTGTGTGTCCACATACAGATGTTTGTATAATTCTTCCACCTACAGATGAAAATAAAATGTAACCACTGTGGATCTCTTTTCAGTGAGTTTGGCTGGAACATAGTAAAACTTCTCATCTGCACATCTTTTTTTATCCCTGGAAAAAAAACATTTCCAGTTAGTGCTTTGACTAGAACTTCCAGTAGCTCCACTCTCTCTCTTCAGAATCTAAGTCTTGGGTGGTACATCCATTTTCTGATTCTCAAATCTTGTCACTTCCTTTATCATTTTTTTAGCTCTTAATCCATTTCCTCTGCTTCTTGGGAGAGATTTGCCAATTTGTCTGGTTTTCTGGAACAAGAATTCTGCTTTTTTTTTTTAAAAAACTGTTTCTATTGTGATTTAACCTTTGCATTTATGTCTTTTATTTATTTTTTTTAAAATGCTCGCCATCTCTTTTTTTCCCTTTTTTAATATTTATTTATTTATTTGTACAAGCACCAGGTACAGTCAGAAGCGCGGGAGGGTGAGAGAATTCACCAGAGCCAGAGCGGGGAGCAGAGCAGGCAGAAGGACCGAAGTACACTGCTGAGGGGAGCAGCGGGCGGCAGGAGAGGTCTGCACGCCATGTGGGACCCTCCTTGTGGGACCCTCCTCCGGTGGCCGGGGAGCAGCCAGGGATCGAACTGGCGCTGCAGAGGCTGCGGGCAGCTTCGGAACCCAGCGCTCAACCGCTGCGCCACCAGGGAGGCCCCATTTATGTCTTTTAAAATTCACTGTAGAAGAAGAAGGAAAAAAAAAAAAAAAACCACCCATGATCCTATTATCCAGAGATCAGCAACTATTAATATCTTGGAATATAGCATCTTTTCACATTCTTTTCTGTTCATCTCTATATCCATTTCTAGAACTATCTAGAACTGTCTTGAATAATATGTATAATGCAGTTGTTATCTGGTATTTCATATTAGCAAGCCTGTCTTGACATAGATGAATTTAAAAGTCATGTTAAGGAAATACTCTTCTGTTTCCATTTTATCAATTAAAAAAACTGAACTTCCACTGACTGTTGTTCTGCTTCTGCCCTATGCAACATGAGTCCTACGCTAGGTCACTTAATTGGAATGATCTTCCTCTTTCAAATGATGAATCTGAGGTTCGAGAGGCCAAGTGACTTGTTCAAAGTCATCCACCTAGTAAGTAGAGACCTGTCTTTAAACTGAAGTCTCTCTGTGTCTACAACCAAAGTCTTGTGCTTTTAGCCCTGCTGGCCATATAATGCTTTCATTTTTTGCTGAACTTTAAAAGACAATCAGGAATGGATGCTAATTTTATAAAATGCTTCTTAAGCATCTTTCAAAATGACCACATGTTTTTTTCTCCTTTGACCTATGGTTATGATGGTAATAATTGATGGTCTATTAATGGATTTTTCAGTGTACACTCTCTTTGCGTTCCTAGGTTACACCCTAATACATATGAATGTATTATTCTTTGAATATTTTACTGGGTTAATTTGCTTGTATTTTAAAATTTTTTCCATCTGCATTTATGAGAGAGATTAGTGGTTTTTATGGTGTTCTCTGTTGAGTGTTGGCATTATGGTAAAATTGACTTTGGAAAAGGCCTCAGGAAGGACCTCTTCTTTTTCACTGTTTGGGAATAGTTTAAATAGTAAAAATAGTAAAATTATGCCTCCTTTGAAGACACACAAAACTGGGAAACTTTCTGAGCTCTCACCTTTGGGTCAGGGGAAGTGAAATTATGTTCTCAGTCTTTTTTTTTTTTTTAAGATTTATTTATTTATGCAAGAACTGGGGTACAAGCCAGATGCGCGGGAGGATGAGAGGATTCACCAGAGACAGAGCGGGGAACAGAACAGGCAGACTGGCGAAATACACAGCTGAAGGGAGCAGCGGGCGAGACAGGAGAGGTCTGCAGTGCCATGTGGGACCCTTGCGGGCCCGGATCAAACCCGTGCTGCAGAGGCTGCGGACAGCTTCACAGTGCGGCGCTCAACTGCCTGCGCCACCAGGGAGGCCCCTGTTCTTAGTCTTTTCCATAACTTCTTCTTGAATCAATTTTGCTAATTTTAACATTCATAGAAAAATGTTTGGTAATCTTTTTCTAATTCATTTAGCCCAGAAATGTATATTTTAGAACTTTCTTCGGTGTCTGGAGTTAGCTCTATTTTCTCTTCCTCGGCGTTGTATGCTGTGACTTCTTTTTCTTAATTATCCTTGCCAGAAGTTTATTTTAGTGATTATAACAAAATCCATTCCACTGCTCTTTAATTTTGTCACTTATTTTATTTTACTTTTTAAATACAATTCCTGCTTTCCAAACATTGCATCTTTGCCATCCAGAGCAGAAAAAGAATGATTTCTTCTTTGTAATATCTCCTTAAGGTTTTTTTAAGAAATCTTTCCAAAATCTTTCCTCCCTTTAGCTGATTTCTCCACTTGCTGTCCAGAGCAGGATTACAAGCCTGACCTTAAATCAGTCCTTGGTAAAGGGAACCAATGCACGAAATGTCTTAGAACAATCAGAATTATCCTGAGTCATCTGTGAGGAGACAGGAGACCCTGAATCAAAAGCTGGGCTCAGCCACCAGGGAAGGGGGACACAGTTGTTAAAGAGGTTTCTGTTAGTTTCTGCTCTGCTCTTGGCCCCACTTAGGTGCTGGCTGCCTCTCGTCACAAATCTACATGGGGAGGACAGGGGCTGCGTTCAGTTTTTAGCTCTATCCTCGGGGCTTGCCAGGCTTTCATCTAACTTCCCTCTGTGGGCCCAAATGGAGCTTTCTCCCACCTCTCTATTCTGGCCATCTGATCTTTCAGCAAATGTAGTTTTTAAAAAATGACATTTCTAACCCTTTCCTGTCTTTGCCCTCTGTCTACAAGGGACGGTGCCACCTCCTAGGATGCTTCAACACTCCTCTCCCCTTTATGCCCATGTTTTTTCTGGGAGCTGCCATCTCCAAGTGGATTTAGGCTGAGAGGCACTCCCTGGGGGTGGGAAGAACACTTTTCCTCAAAAGCAACTATGCAGTAGAGTGACGGCTGTGCATTGTCCACTCGGCAGAGACCTTGCTTTCTTTCAAGGGTCAGGCAGTGGGAGGAAAGATAAAGGATCTTTCAAGTTATTTTTAGGATGGGAGTTACTCTGTGGGCAGCATAGCCTGGGGGTTTCGACAATGGCATTTTTCAATCCAGTTCCACCGGCTTTATCAGAGGTGGAAATATGCCATTCCACTGCCTTCCTTCATTCTGGCATGAGCTGTCAAGTCTAGTGTGTGGCGATGTTGTGGGCTTTCAATTCTTTCTGCATCTTTATATTTTCATTCAAATTTTGGAGAGAGTGGAGGGGGGACTGCTAGATGGACACCAGATAAAATGCACCTTGTGAAGAGTGAGCTATCACTGTCTGGGCTCCAGTTCCTTGACCCACTGCCACCTGCCATCTACTTGCCCGTAGTTCCCCTAAGTCACCAGGAGCCTCCATGTTGTTCGAGCCAGAGGGTACTTTGCATCATCCTTTTGCCCCATCTCTTCTCAGCACATGAAGTGCTGACCACCAGCTCCCTCGTGGGTAGGCTTGTACTGAGCACGCTTGCTTTGCATCAGGGGCTATACTAAGCCCTTCATATTCAAGACTTCAGAAAATTCTCAGAGCATGCCTGAGAGGTGTCATTATTGTTTCCTTTCTACACACAAGGGAACCAAGGTTCTTGCTTGTAGGCCAATAGCGGGTAACTGCAAGTGTCAAGAGGGAAGCTTAAATGTTCTCCTCCCTGGGCATCTGTGACCTTTTTTGCTCCTGCTTTTCCTCATATGTCTCTGGCTCATCCTTTTCAAACTCCCTTTCCATTGCCCACCTCTTAAATGTCCTTGTTTCTTGGGCTTGTTTCCTTTTTTTTTTTAAGATTTATTTATTTATGCATACAAGAGCTGGGGTGCAGGCTAGAGATACAGGGGTGACAGGATCCACCAGAGACAAAGTGGGGAGCAGAACAGGCAGATATACTGAAATACACTGCTGAGGGGAGCAGCAGGCGAGACAGGAAAGGTCTGCTGTGCCATGTGGGTTGTTCCCTGGCTAGAGATTGAACTCGTGCTGCAGTTGCTGCAGATTGCTCCATAGTGCTGCGTTTTAACCCCTTGTGCCACCAGGGAGGCCCGAGCTTGTTTCCTAACGGGGTTTCCTCTTCCATAAATTCTCCCTGGGTAGTTTCCATCCCCATTGCTACTGGATTTCCATCTCCCACTGAGACACCTTTTGTGAGTCCTGGAACCACTTATTCAGCTGTCTTTCCAGCAACTCCTCTTGGAAGCCCCTTTACTCAACACACCTAAAGTGAAGTCACATCTTGTAACCTGCTTGTCCTTGCCTCAATGGAAGATTATTGTCCCCTTTGTTTGCCTGCTTGTTTATGGCCACTGTCCATCCAAGATGATCTCCACTAGTGGTTCTCAAACTTGCTGGAAGCTTGGAGAAACTTGAAAGGATATGACTAATTTCTTAATCCCACCGAGATTTGATTTAATTGCTTGGGATTGTGACCTGGACATCCTATTTTTTATTGTGGCAAAAACATATAAAATCTACCATCTTAAAACCATTTTAAGTGCCCAGTACAGTAGTGTCAGCTAGATGCACATCATTCTGCAACAGATCTCTTAGAACTTTTCATATTGTAAAAGTCAGGGAACAGCAACTCCTTTTCTCAACCCCCAAGCCCCTGCACGACCACCGTTCTCCTTTTTGGTTCTAAGCATGTGCTACCTTTAGCTCCCCATACAAGTGGAATCATGCAGAGTTTGTCTTCTCGCGACTGTCTTGTTCACTTGTCATACCGTCCTTAAGGTTCAGGCTATGATGAGAGGATTTCCATTTTTGTTACTGAAAAAGGCTGAATAGTATCCCACTGTATGTCTATTTAGCTACCTATGGTTTATCTATCTCACATTTTTCTTTCCATTTATATATCGATGGAAACTTAGGTTGTTTCCATATCTTGGTTATTGTAAATACTGCTGCAATGGGCATGAGGGTGCAGACATCTCTCTGAGAGAGTGATTTCATTTCCCTTGGATGTATATCGAGAAGTGGGATTGCTGAATCATATGGTAGTTCTATTTTTAAGGTTTTAAGGAACCTCATTTTTCCATAGTGGCGGCACCAATTTAATTCTCACTGACAATGCATGGGGGTTCCTTTTCCTTCACTTGTCAGCACTGGTTATTGCTTGTCTTTTTGATGATATCCAGGTGTGAGCTGATATCTCGTTTATATCACACTTGCTTTATCCGTTTATCCATCGATGGATGTTTAGGTTGCTTCTTTCTCTTGGTTATTGTGAAATACTGCAGTGAACAGGGTGTGCAAATATCTCTTCAAGATTCTGTTTTCAATTTTGGGAGCTGTGTACTCAGAAGTGGGATTGCTGGGTCATATGGTAATTCTATTTCTAAATTTTTAGGGTACCTCTATGCTGTCTTCCATAGCAGCTGCACAGTCGTGCTACCCACAAACAGCACAAGGGTTTCACCTTCTCCACATCCTTGCAGTGCTTGCTATTTACTGTTTTGTTTTGTTTATTCAATTTTGGTAGTGGCCACCCGAGCTCCTCATATACGAAAGTGGATATCTCTGTGCTCTGACTTGCATCCCCTGCTGATTAGAGCTCTCGAACATCTTTTCAAATGCTTGTCAGCTATTGCCGTCTTTTTGGAGAAATGTTGACTCGTGTCCTCTGCTCAGTTTTAAATCTGGTGTTTCTGAATTTCTTTGTTAAGTTGTAGGAGTTTTTCAGAAACTCTACATATGAACCCCTTATCAGATGTATTCTTAGTAAATATTTTCTCCCATTCCATAGTTGCCTTTTGACTCTGTTGTTTTTGCTACACAGAAATGTTGCAGTTTAATGTAGTCCCATTTAAGTTTTTGTTGCTTGTGCTTTTTACATCATTTCCAAGAAATCATTGCCAAATCCAGTATCGTGAAATTTCTCCCCATTTGTCTCAGGGTTTTATAATTTCATTTTGAGTTAATTTAAATCTATCATCCATTTTGAGTTAATTTTTGTAGCTGGCATAAGGCAAGGGTAAACTTCATTCTTTCATATGTGGCTCTCCAGTTTTCCACATACCATTTGTTGAAGAGACTATTCTTTCCCCATCGTGTAGCTTAATACCCTTGTTGAAGATCATTTGACCACATAAATGAGGGGTTATTTCTGGGTTCTCTATTCTGTTCCATTTGTCTGTATGCCAGTCCTGTCTTTACGCCAGTACAATGCTGTTTTGATCACTGCCATTTTATAATGTGTTTTGAAGCCAGGAAGTGTGAGACCTCCAGCTTTATTTTTCTTCTCTAGACATTTTGAATATTCATGGTCCTTTGAGATTCCATATGTATTTTAGTATTTTTTTTTCAATTTCTGCAAAATCTGCTATGGGATTTTTGATAGAAATTACTTTGAATTTGTAGCTTGTTTTGGTTAGTATGGACATTTTTACAATACTGTCTTCCACTCTGTAAACAAGGATGTCCTCTTTAAATTCTTTCAGAAATGTTTTGTAGTTTTTAGTGTAAAAATCTTTGGCTTTTTGGGTTAGATTTATTATTAACATTTTATGCTTTTGATGCTATTGTAAATGGGGTTGCTTTCTAAATGTCCTTTTTGAATTGTTTATTCATGTATAGAAACAATGCATTTTTGTTTGTTGATTTTATATTCTGCAACCTTGCTGTTTTCATTTATTAATTCTAACAGTGTTTGTGTGTGTGTGTGTGTGTGTATGTGTTTGTGTAATCTTTTGGGTTTTCTCCATAAAAGATAATGTCATCTGTGGACAGAGATAATTTTACTTCTTTCTTTTCATTCTGGATGCCTTTTGTTTCTTTTTTCTTGGACATCCTTGTCTTGTTCCCAATCTTAGCAGGAAATGTTCTTTCTTTCAATCTTGAATAAGATGTTAGCTGTGATCTTTTCAAATATGGCCTGTATTGAGGTAGTTTCCTTCTATTCCTAATTTGTTGGGTATTTTACTTCTTGACTGGACCATTGACATAGTTAAATAGGTGACTTCCTGCCTCTTATGATGTCTAATGTCTCCAAATCACAGAAAGTATAGAAAGAGCCTGGGGGATTAGAACCAACCATGATGAGGGAAGTTAGAGTGTAGGGTGTGGGCAACACCGTGAGGTCTGGTGCTTCTCCCTGCCTTCCCCTCTCCCAGCAGTGATGTGCAGAGCTGTGGGGTGTGAGAGGCCTTCTTCCCTCTGGTATCACAGACTGAACCCTTAGGCTCCACTCCTCAGGAACTGAACTGCCGGCCCCACAATCCCTTTGGCCATGCCCCCAGGCTTCCCTAGCTCCCCTGACCTGTCCCTGTCCTGCCCCACTACCCTCTGGCCCTGGCCCTGTCCAGCCCCGCTACCCTCTGGCCCTGCCCCAGTGCTAGATCTGAGCCCAAAATACCACATTACTTACTGTCAGGGCCCTGGGAGGAGGATGAGATCCGCAGGGACCGCGTGGAGCCCCAGAGTGTGTCCCTGTCGTGGAGGGAGCCCATCTCTTCTGGAGTCCCAGGGGCCAACAGCACGGAGTATGAGATCCGCTACTATGAGAAGGTGAGTGAGGCTGGGGGAGGAACCTGGGACTGCCTTCTCTCTGCTCAGGCTTCCTCCTCTTTGTACTCCCAGCTAAAGTTCTTCTAACGTATCTTCCAGCCTCCTGAGGGGCCTCCCGGGCTCGAGGCCTTCTTCCTGTCCCCTCCATACCTGGGACCGCCTCCTCTTCCTCTCTCCCCCTGGTCTCCAGGCACCACCAGTCGTCTCCATTTTGACCACTTTTACCTAGTGTTTGCAGTTGGCAGAGAGCTTTCTCTGGGGGCTGATTCAGATTTTGTGTGGCCGAATCCACACATACAATTTGCAAAACCCCTTTTAGGAAAAGGAATGCAGGAGTACTGTGTTTCGAATTTTGCTAAGAAATGGCACAACCATGGGAGCACCTCGCTAGGTCAGGAGGTATGCTGGGGCTCAGGTGTGCTGGCAGGTGTTTGACAAACAGCTCTCCAGAACAATGACAGTATGAATTATTGCTACAATTTTACTTTTATATACAGGATTTGGGATATATTACCTACAAGTATTAATTTGAAATATACAGTGCTCCTTATTGTAAACTCCACGTACCAGAGTGATTCCCACAGGATACTTTTGCTGGGTTTTGCTGCCGTCAATCTCTGGCTGCAGATCAACCCTAATTTGACAAGTGGCATTCTAACCTAGTCTCTTTTCTCCGTAAATGTATTATCTTTAAATCTGATATGTAAGCGACTGTTTCTCACCTTGGAGCAAATTTTATTCATTAAAGCAAAACTTGCCTTCAGCTTCAGCACCCCACATTTCAGACTTCACCCACCCCTCAGGGACTTGAGGGATTTCTTTGCTGAATCCGACAGTGGCCTTTGAATTCTGCAGGTCTGTTGAGAGCTGTGCATTGGGGGAGGGGGTGGTTCGACAGGAAGAAAGAGGGTCTCCTGAGTCAATGGTGGGTGCGTGACCTGGGTGCTATGGGCTGAGGTGGAGCCACTGAGGAAGAGAGCAGGTTTGGGGCGAGATGGTAGCTTGGTTTTGCTCATGTAGCATCCAGGGGGTCTTAGGACATCCAGGTGGACCTGAAGGTTTGAAACCCAAAGGAGGGGCTTGAACTGGAGAGTGAGAGTTGGGGGTTTTCTGCACAGATGGCAGCTAAAGCCAGGGGGCCCCACAAAGTGAAGTAGGAAGAGAATGCAGGCGAGAAGAGTGGCAAGACAGAGCTCTGAGGAACCCGATGTTTGGGAGGCAGCAGTGAAGGGCCTGGGAAGGGGCTCAGCATGCAGTAGTTGCTTAGAAGGGGCTCGCAGAACTGAAACTTGGGGTTCAGAGCATAGACAGTCCCAAAGCTGAGCCCAGCGAATGCTCCCAGGCCTTAGGGAGTACATTTCCTGGGAACCAAAGCCCCGGAGGAAAAAAGCTAGTATAAAGAAGGGGCTGTATTTAAAAGATTCTTGGAGCATCTCACGGAACCGATGGGCAGTATCGCCAGGGATGCAGTGCTCCTTCTCGCCCCGTCTCTGCCCACCAGTCCAGCCTGCTCTGCACTGTCCAAGCTGCCGAGGTTGCCAGTGCTGCTTCTTCCCTTCCCCCCAAACCCCCTTCCCCAGGTACTGAAGCTATTGCCTTCCCATCTTTCAGGGGGTTGTTGAAGCTCCTGGAAGGGGAGTTCTCATTGGCCCCATGTGGGTCAGAGTCTGCCCAGTCCCTGTATATTATGGCCATAGATCTGGGACCACAGGATATCAGGGAAGTGACCTTCTGGGGGTTGTGAGCTTGGCAGGGGCTCAAATAAGGGGGTGTGGGCAGAGTGGAAATGTTGGGAGCAGCTCCAGTACACACCATTATCAGACGCATTAGGGTAGCATGCTGTGGAGCACGAAGCACTAGACCTGGAGGAATTCAGGTGTCACTCTGACCTTTCCTTGGGAACACTGCTGTGAGCACTGCAGGAAGGCAGCCTCCTGAGAGCCCAGGTGGCGGCAGTGAGCAGCCTCACTGGGGCTGGCTCACCATTCCCACTCCCAGGGCTCTATGAGCCTCTCTGTCTCTGGCCCCACTCCTTATCTGGAAAGCAAGACAAAAAGATAATGATAAAACCTGCTATGAACAGCAGGTGAGCAGGGAAAGGAAATACTGGCAAGCAGCCAGGGCCAGCAGGTGTCAGGGCTCTTTCTCACTCTCCCTCTGAGGGTCAGGCCCAGCCCCCATCCTACCCCACCAGACCCTGAGGTCCACTGTCCTATTATTCCCAAGAAGAAGGATCTAGCACCTTCTCTAAGGTTTCTCATAGTCAGAGGTGGGGCTGTTCTCAGTGAGTGTGGGTGGGAACTTGTGGTGGAGAGGACTGTGAAACCCACCAGGACGACTGGAGTCAGGTTCTTCCACCCAGCTCAAGAGTCCCTGAGGGCCTTTTCCCCCACCTTCCCTGATCCATGCCCTCCCCCTGCCCCCAGTCTCCCAGGAACATGAGTCTGGGCCTCACTTCTTGGTTCCTCCCCAGGGTCAGAGTGAGCAGACATATTCCACAGTGAAGACAGGGGCTCCTGCGGTCACGGTCACCAACCTGAAGCCGGCCACACGCTATGTCTTTCACATCCGGGCGGCCTCCCCAGGGCCCTCCTGGGAGACACAGAGCTTCAACCCCAGCATTGAGGTGCAGACGCCAGGGGAGGGTAAGTGATGTGTGCAAGTGCAGAGGGGCCTGGACAAAGAGACCCCGGGAAGGCGCTGGGGCAGAGACAGGCGGGTGGGTAGGGGCTTATCTGTGCAATCAAGGGAGCCTGCAAAGCAGTTACACTCTAATTAATGAGTGCACTTGGAGTCTGCCCACCAATGCCTGTTCGCTGACATGAATTAGACTGGGTGCCTGTCCTGGAGGAGCTCACAGCATGGGAGCAGCTGGGGCTCCCCGCCTCTGAGGGCCCATGCCAGGAGCCCTGCCGGCTCCCCGGTTCCTGCCATTTTCTTGGTAGGAGTTTTGGTCTCGTAGTCCTTTCTGCCTCCTACCGCTAGTCTTGTTGCTTTCTGCTGCCATGATACAGACCCAAGGATGGGCCGCCATCCCCATTCCCAGCAGACCTTAGAGCAAGAAGCCCGCTCCACTGAGGCTGGGGGACACGAAAGGGGTTGAATTACAGAAAAAAAAAAAAAAAAAAAACAAAATGAGAACTGTATGTGTTCGGGGGCGAATTGTGTGGTATGTGACTCATTTCTCAGTGAAGCACAGCCACACCTGAACATGAGATGCCCCGGTCTCCGCCGCGTTGTGCTCCCTCTCCTGCCTTCCCTTCCCGCCCCTGGTCCCTCTTCTCCCCACCCACCCCCAAGCCCCTTCCATGCTGCCTGCATAGCAGTTCGCTCTCCCTTTTGTTGTTTTGCCTGCTGCGAGCCCAGCCCTCAGGATCTCACCTCTCTCTACCCCAAGCAGCTCATGAAAGTATTTTCCTGGACAAAGGCAGTTCCCCCTAAGAGGCATTCTGGCACCAGCTGTCAAGATAATAATTCTTTCAACCTGCTACATGAGTCTAATCCAAGATAGGAAGAGCTCTGAGCCCAAAGGGACGTGAAGATAAAATGTTGAGGGGGGTTTGAGTTCTGGGAAGGAAGACAGCACTTCTTGCTTGAATGCCTGTCTGTGCCAGAGCTCGGCCAGGTGCTGGCAAGAGGAGATTAGAGCTCTGTCTTGAAGGCTGGGGACTGCTGAAATGTGTAGAGGTGGGCAGGGGAGGCATTTTGGGTACAGGAAGTCATCTGAACAAAGGCCTATGGGTGTGACTGGAGTCGGGGTGGGGGGGTGGTCTGGGGCAGGAACAGGGGTTGCTGGTGGAGAAGGACTGCTGGTCCATTCATGCTTCTCAGTGGCCACCGCTCAGCTCCCCGGCCTCCTTCACTGTGGCCCTGGCTGTGGGGGAATGGGCCTCCTATTCTGCAGAGCACCTTTCCCAGGGCACGGTAACCCTCCCAAGTTGGGATCATGATGAAGGATTGGGCTTCCCCATAGTATTAAGTGTTTGTTGCTATTGATAGATGGCCCCCAAACTTAGCAACGGAAAAACACCAAGCATGCCTTATGTCGTAGTCTCTGTGGGTTGGGGATATGGGGGCCGCTTAGGGAGGAATCACTTGACGCAGGGTCTCTCGCGTGGCTGCAGGCAGGTGTCCCCGGGGAGACTGCTGGAGGCACACAGTTCCTAGGCTGCTAGATGCTGTTTCACTCAGTGAGAGAGAGCAGGAGGGCACTCAAGACCAAAGCCGCAGACTCTAGTCACCTTCTTTGGAAGTGGCATCTCTTCACTTTGGTCATACTGTGTTCATTAGACAGTAGTGGCCATGTCTGGCCCGACTCCAGGGAATTGCTGCCAGGATGTGGGGAGTCCAGGAGGTCCATGTTAGCGCTGCCTGCCACGACTGCCCAATCGCCATCCTCCACTTCCGTGTCCACTAGGACACTTGCTTTCAAACAGCCTTTGACCACCCCACCTGCTCCCGCCACCAGCCACACCCTGGACACCCTGTTCCTCACCTCTGGAAACGTGGGCTCTGAAATTCCCCCTTGACCTTGGTCTTGCTGGCCTTTAGCCTTATTGTTCTTACCTAACCTCCTCACTCACTCTGTGACATTCTAATAACAACTCTCTTGACCCTACAGCACCTCCCAGGCTCTCCACCTGCTGACCCCACATCCATCTCTACCTGGCCACCACAGAGCCTCTGGCGGCCCCTCCAGTCCCTCTGGGCCTCTGGCTTCTCCTTGCCTCTCCTCTTCCCTACTCACCAGCGCTGCTGCCCTCACTCCCAAGACACGGTGCAATACCCACCTCTCTAGTCCCCAGAACTGGGCTGGCCTCTGCCCCACCCTGGGGCTTGCCTGCGGAGGAGTGTTTTTCTCTAATCTCAGTTCAGCCTGCTCGGCATTTGCCCCGTTCTCCAGAGTTACACCAAACGTCCCCTCTCCAAGGCACCCCCTCCCATCCCTCTCCCAACCCAGCAGGCACCCTCGTTCCTTTCCCTCAGGCAGGCACCCAATCCCCTGCTCCCTGGCTCTTTCCCACCAGGACCCTCATCACACTGTTGTCCTAGCCAGGATGGTTACCACCTAGACTCCTACGTTCTGGCTTCTCCAGTTTCTCTGCCCACCAGCAGCTCCTCTCTTGCCTCTCCTCTCCCACAGTTTTCTAGCCACGGGGATGGCTTGCTGTTTTCTAGGCCTGGCACGTGCTTCTCAGCACCACCAGCAGCCCTTCCGTCTTCTAAGTCCACGGAAGTGACACCTCTTCTGAGACACCTTCCTCCTTGGCTTTACAAAGAAGTGATTGTGCTTGTGCCGAGCTCTGCTCATTTCTCTATTTCTTTTTTCATTCTAGAGTTAAGATTTTTGTTTCCATCTCCCCCAACAGTTTGCACACTCCTCCAGGGCAGGAATTCTGGCTCATTCATCACTGTCTCCCAGTACTAACATCAGCCTGGCACATATGTTGGAAGTATGGATGGGTGGATGGATGGATGGATGTATGGATGGGTGGGTGGGTGGATGGATGGGTGGGTGGATGAGTGGATAAATGCGTGGGTGGGTGGACGGGTGGGTGGATGGATGAGTGGGTGGATGGATGGTTGGATGGGTGGGTAGATGCATGGGTGAGTGGATGGATAGAGCTGAGATCCTGGGGTCCTCTAGGACCCTTCCTTGAGGAAATGATTCAAGGCAAGGCTATTGGAAGCAGGTTCAAATCTTGGGTTCATGCTCTATTAGCTGTGCAACTTTGGGCAAATTATACATTTTTTCTTAACATCAGTTTCTTCATTTACAAAATTGGAGATAATAACAGCTCACCGGTTTGCCATGAGGGTGAAACAGAATCATTTAGTTAAGGCAGAGTGTCTTGAATGGAGTAGAAGTGCATTAAATATTAGTTCTTACTGTTAATTGGTCAGGACTGGAGCCCCAGAGCTACCTTCTGTCTGTCGTTGTATATCTCAAAGGCACAAAGGGAGGCTGAGGTCCTTCGGTCTGGACCCCTGCTCATCAGACTGGGCTGCAGTGGAGGTGTCCTGGCCTTCCAGAGGAGGAGACTGCAGGTGTTACTGTGGTTGGGGGGTCGCCTTGGTCCCTCTGCTGATGGGAGGCAGGGCTAGTGCAGAGGGGCTGTAGGAATCGTGCTGTGGGGTGAGGACAGGAGCCTGTCTTAGCGCTTACCCACAAGCCTGGTCCTCCACTTGCCTCAACCTCATGGTTTTCCTCCCAGCTGCCTCAGGGTCCAGAGACCAGAGCCCTGCAGTGGTTGTCACCGTGGTGACCATCTCAGCCCTCCTCGTCCTGGGCTCCGTGATGAGCGTGCTGGCCATTTGGAGGAGGTAGGTGGCTGTCCCAGCCTGACTGATCCCTGCTGTGCTTACAGGCGCCTCTCTCTGGACCTGCATATGCCCACGAGCAGATTTGCGCGTGCAAGCACAGCTGGGTAGACACAGGCTCGGCTACTCTAGCCCCAGCCCCTCCCCCACTCGCTGCTCCTGCTGCAGCCAACACTGCAGCTAGCTCAGCCACTCTGGGATGAAGGGGATTTAGCTCCTTAACTCATTAAATGTCAGAAGGCATCACTAAGGATGGAATCAAGCTCTGGCTGTTCCAGTGTGATTAGGATTCTCCCGAGGCGCTCAGAGGCCCAAGCCCCTGCCCCCAGGGGATCTGGAGGCCCTAGAACACAGGCAAAGAGAAGAAAGGCAGAAATTGTTGGTGTATGTGTGTGGGAGGGGGGAGGACAGGGAGGCAAACTCGTAAGCTGGAATCCCCCACCTCCCAGCTGGAAGAAGCTTGCAGGAGAGTAGGCAGAGCAAGGGGGTGGGAGGAGGGGAAAGATGCAGAGCTTGAGTCTGGCTCAGAGACATGGCAGTCCAGGGCCATGCAGCGGAAGCCTCATAGTATGCATTTCCCCTTCTCCCGGAGCCACACTCAGCTGCATGCAGAGGCACCCAGTGGGTGGGTACAACCAGGCAGGGGCTGAGGGCAGCAGGCCTCAGGGGTTGGGAAGTGTGCACGTGGGGCCAGCCAGGGAGTCACCTGCCGGCGATGTGTCAGCATCCTGGAACTGCCCGTGGATTGGAGGGACAGTGGGCATTCATTTGGCACTGACTGCTTGCTTGACCTTGAACAAGGCACTAAAATTGACTGGGGAGGAGAGGACCTTATCCTGAGGGTCCAGGAGGCAACTCTGCCTGTACCAGAGGAGGTAGGAAGGCAGGACAAGCGTAGCAATAACTTCCTCACGAGCTTCAGAGTTCATATGTGGGACTCAGCCATGGACAGGAGCTGAGAGCATCTTTTCTTAGCTGTGAGCTTCGGGGCTCCTGGAGGCAGAGGACTATAGAAGAGAGGGGTAAGCAAGGAACATCCCCCTGGGCAGACTTTGGAGGACAAGAGCCACTGCTCAGGAGTGCCTGAGACAAGTGCACTAGGCAGGCACTGCAAAGCCTGCAAAATCAAACTGCATGGAACTGGGGACAGTCAGCCCCTCTGGCGCCTAAAGTCTAGGAACAGGCCTCACGCTGTCCCCACCTCAGCAAGTCCCTGCAGCACCTGCCCAACATGGTATCCAGCTTCCCCCAGTCCTTCCTGGAGTACCCCACTTCTCACTAGAAGGTGTCATTCAGTGGATGCTTCTAGTTTCCTAAGCATGCGCCCTCTGCCGCTCCTCTGTCCACCCAGACTTGCCCTCTCCTTTCTTCTCACCTCTCCTGCTGGATGGTCCCCTGCTTCCTGGATATCCTGTCATCACGCTGGGTGACTTCAGTCGCCACTCCTTGGATGATACTCCCTGGTCTCTCGGTTCTTTGACTTCCTCATTCCCAAAGTGCTCTCCCATGTCCTCAGAAGGACCCACCACCACCCCAGATACTCTTGCCCTGCAGAACCCCTGTCCTTGCAGCTTACTCCCTCAGCCATGTCTGGCACCTGCTCCACAGCTTCATCCTGAGCCCCGCCGCACCACCCCCGCCCACCTTCTGGTCTCAAGGAGGTGCTTGCCTAGCCAGGAGCAGCCTTCTCCTGTGACCCGTGCCCCAATTCCTTGCTAGCATCTCAGGGACCATTACTATTTTAAAATGGTCCCTCACCCCCACATAATAGCTAACCCCACATAATAGCTTTATGGAGTTCTTGGCAACAGTGCTGTCGGGTGGGCCTGTCTTTATCCCAATCTTATTAAAGAGAAAACCAGGCTCCTGGGCCCCACCGCTGCTGGGTGGAGAAGGTAGGAAGCCAGTCTGTGCAAACAGATTCCGAAGCCCAAGCTGTTAGCCTGTGACCACTTCATCCTGTCTGACAGCCCTTTCCCCTGCCCCATTCCTAGCCAACTGAACAGCCCTCCAGCGTCCTTAATCCCTCTTCCTGCCCCCCCTTGTACCTCGCTCCCCTGCTCCTTCCCCCCTGGGCTTCTGTGACATCACTGCTGCTGATGTCCCTCTCATTTCCCTTCAGCTTCCCTGGTGCTTCTTGCGCCAGCTCCTATGTGGCTTCCTTCTCCTCTACCCAGTGTCTCAATGTTGGGGGCCCTCAGGCTTGTTCCTAGTCCCGCTTCTCAGACCCCATGCTTAGGCCTCCACATGTGTATTCTCAGAGCAGACCTTCCTTCTAACTTCCAGACACACGTGTAGTATCTCGTGCCTGGCGCCCCTCCCCCGCCAGCCTGTCCACACCCCTGGGGCACAGTTCCTTCTTTGGGGAGGACTAAGATGTCCAGACATGAGCTCCCCTCTCCCCATCTCAGTGGATCACACCACCCTATGTTGGGCTCTGTTGGGCAAGCCCCAGCCCTGCGAGTCATTCCTGCCTCTCCCTTCTTCCTTCCAGCAATCTGCAAGCCCCGTGGCCCTGGAACCTAAATGTCACTGGTCCTGTCACTTTCTGCTGTGTCCATGGCCACCCCATTGCATGCGCCACCGCTGTCTCCCATGGGCACGGCAGCAACAATCACCTTGGCCTCCCTGGTCTACGGCTTTCTTGACTTTGATGTGGTCCCTTGGTCCGTGGTGGCTCTAGCTCAGGTAGCCCGGTTGAGGGCCCGGACTAGTCGGGTTCATCTGTTATGTGTTCCCACATTCCCACATGTGCACCCTCTCCTTTGCTTGCACCCGTGAGTGGTCTGCAGTTAGTTCATTCTCAATGGTTGGGCCGGAAGCTGTCCGGAGTGTGAGGTCACCTGTTGCATTCCCCTGTAGGGGGCGGGGCAGCTTGGGCTGAGAGTCAGGGGTGTGGATTCAGGTGCCTCCGGAGTTGCAAGAACATTCGTGAAAATAACTGATGTGGCCGGGATTAGGTCTGGGGCTAGGGTTGTATGTGTGCTGTGGGGAGCAGCTTTCAAACCCACAGGCAAGAAGATCCCTCCCCTGGGGTACAGTTCCTTTTGGAAGGCCTAAGAGGTGCCTCCTTGGGTGCTGGAGAGATGGAAAGGACTGGGCAGCGGGGCTTAAAGAACGACTCTGCACATCTGTAGGCCCTGCAGCTACGGCAAAGGAGGTCGGGATGCCCATGATGAGGAGGAGCTGTATTTCCACTGTGAGTTGTCTGGGTGGGGGCTTGGGTGGGGGGGTGGGCAAGAGCCTCACTTCTCAGCCCTCTTCCTGCTGCTAGTGTATAACCCACTCCTCCTGCCACGAAGGCCCCTTTCCTCAGGCCCACCTCCTTCTCTCTCTGCCTTCCCAGTCAAAGTCCCCACGCGTCGCACATTCTTGGACCCCCAGAGCTGTGGAGACCCTCTGCAGGCTCTCCATCTGTTTGCCAAGGAGCTGGATGCAAAAAGCATCACGCTAGAGAAGAGCCTTGGAGCAGGTAAGCCGCAGCCTCCTGGAGCCTGGTCCACGGGAAGCCCCGCCTCCTCCCAAGCCCCGCCCCCACACCTGGACGTCCCACCCACACCCCCTTCCTCCCCGCCCAGGAAGCTCCACCTGCACAGGAGCCTGACTTCCACCCACCAGGTGCCAGGGGAGGGGATGGCAGAGCCATCCCACCCTGCCTTCCTGCCCTTTCCCTGCCCCCATGGTCACAGAGATGGCTCCAGGCAGGCCCTTTCAGAGCTGGCCTCTCAGACGCCATGGCACTTTAGTCCCTGGGCCTAAGCGTGGCGCCCACACATGCCTGGTCCTAGTCCTGGCTCTACCACTGACCAGCTGTGAGCCTGTGAGCCTCAGTTTCTCTGTACACGGACACTGTATCCACCTCAGGTGAAACGGCTGTGGGGACTGGACAGTACTCAGCCACAACTTGGAGTTCAGCGCACTCATTCTCTACCAGTAACTCTGCTGGCTTCCTCTCCTCCTGTCTGAGCCCTGGGCCCCTGTGCTCAGAGAAGGCAGCCACTTTCACCAGGCAGGGGCTGTGTGGCAAACAGGTGTCTTCTTGGGCCACACTCGGCTTCAGGAGCCTTTGAAGCCCAGGGAATGTGCAATGCTCTCTTTGGAGCATTGGACCCTCCTGAGGCAGACTGGGCAGGGAGGGGGGCGGAGGAGGGCAGAGGAGGGGGGCAGACCCCCATTTCACAGATAAGAAACCTGAGGCCAAGAGAGGGAAAGAGAGTTGAAGCTTTGATCTCACTGCTAATAACTCACCTTACCAGGATTTGAGCCAGGCGTGCTGAGTCCCTGCCCAGAAAAGGCCCCTGGCCCAGAATTTCTTTTCCCTCTGCTCACCCTGCCCAATTGTCCAGATGGGTACCTTGGGGTGGGGGGGAAGGGCGTTGAAGTGCAGCTGTTTTTTCACAGGCCGCTTTGGGGAGCTGTGCTGCGGCTGCCTGCAGCTCCCCGGGCGCCAGGAGCTCCTGGTGGCCGTGCACACTCTGAGGGAGGGCTGCTCAGATGCCCAGAGGCTCAGCTTCCTGGCCGAGGCCCTCACTCTGGGCCAGTTTGACCATAGCCATGTCCTGCGACTGGAGGGTGTCGTCACCCGAGGTAGGGCCCAGCACACCACAAGTGGGGGTGGGGGGATGGGAGTCTTGCTCCTGTGTCCCCAGGCACTTCACTCAGCTGTGAGAGGGGCCCCTCAGCTGTCACACATGGAAAGGACGCCTCAACTTTCTTTCACCAACTCAGAGTGACCCACTGATTTTAACATGAACTTTCTGACTTGTGGTGACTCTCTGGTGGACCTTGGGTGATCTTAGCACACTTGTTGCAGCTCCTTACCTTGCCCTTGTCCCCCTACAGATGCCACCTCTTTTGTGTTTCGGCATAGTGGCCCGAGCTTGAGGGTGGCAAGATTAGGGGAGCTTTACTGGGCCTGGGACCCAGGTAGGGGGGAGCTCAAGGGCTGCAGGCAACTTAATGTCCATGTTTCCTCCCTGAGCAAAGGAAGCAACTTGATGATTGTCACCGAATACATGAGCCTTGGCGCCCTGGATGGCTTTCTTAGGGTGAGTGGCCCGGGCCTTGGGGCAGTTGATGACTCTGTTATTCTTGGTCCTTGTCTTTTGTCTTTGGTGGGGCTTGGAATTGGCATCATTCTCTAAAGCACTGCGCCCTGGTGGCTCACAGGACAAACTGATGCCCAGAGAGGGCCAGTGACTTCCCTGGTGTCACACCGCCAGGTGTTCTGAGTGTGCATCCCTGGCCTTGGTCTCGCCCACAGCGGCACGAGGGTCAGCTGGTGGCGGGGCAGCTGATGGGGCTGCTGCCAGGGCTGGCATCAGCTATGAAGTACCTGTCAGAGATGGGCTACGTGCACCGCGGCCTGGCAGCCCGCCGAGTCCTAGTTAGCATCGACCTCGTGTGCAAAATCTCCGGCTTTGGGCGGGGACCCCGGGACCGAGCAGAAGCTGTCTACACCACGATGGTGAGGGTTCCCTTCCCCTGGGCAAGCCCGCCTGCTCCTCTCTTGCCCATTAAACCCTGCTGTGGCAGGGTCATTTCCCTAGCCCTGCCCCTCCTCCCAGTGGGTCCTGAATAAATGCCAGTGAGGGCATTGCCTGTGGCCTGCTTGCATGCCTTCTCCAGATGTGCATCCAGGAGGATGCTGGTGGAGCTGGGGCTGGGTTCTTGTGGAGAGAAGCCCCAGATGTGATTCAGTTCCTTCCTGCTTCTGACCTTCTTGCCTGCCCTCAGAGTGGCCGGAGCCCGGCACTGTGGGCTGCCCCTGAGACGCTTCAGTTTGGCCACTTCAGCTCTGCCAGTGATGTGTGGAGCTTCGGTGTCGTCATGTGGGAGGTGATGGCCTTTGGGGAGAGGCCCTACTGGGACATGTCTGGCCAAGACGTGAGTGACCTGTGGCTCCAGTTCCTTGCATTGTGATCCTTTTGCCCTCTGACCCCAGCTTTCTGACCCCTGACCTCCTAGCCTCAGGCCCCTCTTTATTCTTTACTTGCTTCTGGTCCTACCTGGCTATCACCTAAGTCTTCTTTGGGACGGGATGTGTGTTTGAGTGTAACCTAAAGCCACCTGTCTGATCCCCCCACCCCCACGGTCCAGGTGATCAAGGCCGTGGAGGATGGCTTCCGGCTGCCGCCCCCCAGGAACTGCCCCTCCCTGCTGCACCGGCTGATGCTTGACTGCTGGCAGAAGGATCCAGGTGAGCGGCCCAGGTTCTCCCAGATCCACAGCATCCTGAGCAAGATGATGCAGGACCCAGAACCCCCGAAGTGTGCCACGACCACCTGTCCCAGGTACAGCTGATTGTTTGCCTGTCCCAGGTGCCTTCCCATCTATCCCCAACCATACCAGATATGGCCAAACTCTCACCTGCCCATGAATGCCTCCCCTTGTGTCCCAACTAGGACTCCCCCACCTGTCCTACAACACCTGTCCAGGTATGACTACTCACCCAGTTGCCCCAGGTGAATCTCATACTCCCACCTGCCACAAGCACTTGTAGCCTTTCATCCATTTTAGTTACTTTTCACTTGTCCCGGACTTTGCCTCACATGTGCCAGGTACTGTGACCACTGACTGGATAAATAATGTATGCGGTAAGAACTCATTCAACAAAATAAGTAAAATTATTAGCTGCCCCAAATGTGGGTGCCCTCCCAAACCGTCCTGTTCCAGATGCTCCCAGTCCTTTCCCTGGCTCAGATGCCATCCACTTCCCATCTGCCTCTGTTGAAACCCTCACCGGTTCTGAGAAGGCCTAGCCTCCTGAGTGAGCCAGGTCAGCGCTGGGGCTCTGTCGCCCTCCGCTTCCCCTGTCCTCTTGCCACTGGCCTCTCCTTAGGAGAGTGACCAGGTCTGGGCAGCAGATCCATGCTGTGGGTTGAGCACAGCTCCTCTGACCCCAGGCCTCCCACCCCACTGGCGGACCGTGCCTTCTCTACCTTCCCCTCCTTTGGCTCTGTGGGCGCATGGCTGGAGGCCCTGGACCTGTGCCGCTACAAGGACAGCTTCGCCGCGGCTGGCTACGGGAGCCTGGAGGCTGTGGCTGCCATGACTGCTCAGTGAGTTTGCAGTGCCCAGCAACCCTGCCCCAGCCTGGGGGGCAAGCTCCTGCCGGTCCTGATTCCAGGCCCTTCCCAGTCCAGACAAGATGGGGTTGAACCACCTGTGTCTGAACCACCTTTTCCGCAGGGACCTGGTGAGCCTGGGCATCTCCTCAGCAGAGCATCAGGAGGCCCTCCTCAGCGGGATCAGCACCCTGCGGACGCGCGTCCTCCAGCTGCAGGGCCAGGGGGTTCAGGTGTGAGTGGCTGCACTCTTCCAGGCCAGAAGTCCAGGGGGACTCCAGGGCCCAGCCCTGCCCACGACCCTGGCACACTGCACTCCCCACCGTGTGCAGGCGAGCACCATCGTTCTCCACTTGGGCCCAGAGCTTGTTTGGGGCCACAGTAACCCCCCATTTCATTGCCTCCCACTCCCATTTTGCCCAGTCTGAACACCTTGGCTGGCACAGCCCCCCTGGAAAAAAGGTTCGAATCCCAGGGGAGGTTCCCTGAGATAACAGCCAGAGGAAATGCAGGGTCCTCTGAGTCAGGGTCTGGGCGGGGAGGGAAGGTGTAGCTTTAAGTCACCCAGTTCATGCTCTTCTGTCTTCCACACCCACTGTGGTACAGGGCCTACTCCAGTGGGTGCCTGATTTTCCCATAGACCCACTGGCCAGCAGTGGGTCCCTGCTGGCTCCAGTTCAACCTGGTAGCAACCACAGCTGTCCTGCTGGGTCCCCGAGGGGCAGGATCCTTGGCTCCCTATGCAGGGTTGGGCCCTGTCTGGACATTGGTCCCAAGGTCTAGGCAGCAAAGGTGGTGCTGAAGTCGGGGCTGGACCCCAAGGGCCCTAGACTCAGGAGCTGATTTCTGCTTCCTCTGCCCTTGGACTGACAGTTCAGGGTGAGGGTGAGGATCCTGGCTGGGCTGCTCCATGTCCTGGTGCTCCCCTGAGGCCCCAGACCTCACCTTTGTATTCCTTTTATAAACTTCCTGGCTGGCACATGAGGTTATGGCGGCTGCACTCTTCCAGACGGGGAGCACAGTTTTCACCCAGGGCCCCAAGAACTTCACTGCCCAGCCATGGGGCATGGTGAAGAAGAAGCTCTCTGGATGGGTCTTCTCTCTCCAGCAAGCTGGTCCAGCCCTTGCTGTGCCGTGGGAGAGGCCTAGGCCCAGGTGGTGTTGGCGTCAGAGCTGGGGCTGCAGCCCAGGCTGCCCAGGCCCCAGTCCAGGGATGAGGTTGGCTCTGGAGAGCCTGGTCCTGCCCTGTAACACCAACACTCATCCCTGAGGTTACCCAGGGGGTGCTCGAGGTGGCGTCCTCTTGCAAGCCCCGACCCTGGACACCACCCAGCCTCCCCTAGAGCTCTCCACCTCTGCTTCCACGGAACTGACTGGAGAGTTCCTCCTCCAGAAGGGCTTTCCCAGAGTGGTAGTGACCATGGTGAGACTGGGAGCTCGTGGCACAGCAGGATGGCAGCTGGATCTGCAAAGGGCCATGGCTGCGTTTGCCCAGGTCACCCTGACACAGGCCTGTGCTGGGTGGCTGTGTTTGAAGGGTGGATGGGGAGGGAAGGAGGAGCCTAGGGGTGGAGGGAAGGGGTGAAAGCCTCACTGAGCAGGCCCTTGGAGGGTTCAGACAGGTGGGGGAGATAAACTCAGGCAAAGAGTGCCCAGGTGCTCCCGGGAGACGTGGCGGGTCTATGGGCTGGAGGGCAGATGGACGCTGTCTAGACCATGGAGGTGGAGCAGGATCTGTGTAAGCGAACAGGGCCTTGCAGGTGAGGGAGGGTTCTCTGGTTGGCTAGCAGAAGGCACTAGGGCTGGGGAGAGCCCCGAGTGGGGGATGTGCCTCATAGCAGTGCCTTGGCCTTGCCCTGCCAGCAGTTGTTCTTCTCTCCTCAGAGTCTCCCCACCTCACACACCCCATCCCCTGAGCACCTGCCCCAGCTCAGTGACTTTGGGGTAGGAGAGACAAAGTCTGCTTCAACTTTTGATGGGACTGGAGAGTCCCCTCCCAGGTGCCCTGTAGGTTCTCCCCTCGTCCCCCCAAGAAACCTGGAAAGGACCCAGTGTGGGTACCAGTGTCCTATCTGGGGTGGAGAGAGCCTCCCCTTCCCCCCACCCCCGCCATCTCTAGCAGCATCAAGCACCCGTCATGCTCTAAAGGGCCAAGTCACCTCCTCCCCCAGTCTGCTGCAGAGGGGCCCCATGGCTGTTGGCGGGACCTCGGTGTCCAGGGTAGATCTCCCCTCCCCTGAGGAGTGAGGTCCACAATCCTGATGGGTACCAGGCCTCAGCCCTGCACAGGCGCCGGCATGTGGGGTGAGGCTTTCTGGGAACCCTCTATAGATCTATTTTTATATGGAACTTGTTCACTGGACAGAGGGAGGTGGCCTATGACCCCTCAGAACCCCCGTCTGAGCCCATCTAAGGAGGGGGCTGGAGAGGTGTTTCCTTTGACTAATTCTGAAAATGTTTTTATATTTCTTGGGTTCTATATGCAGGACAAAGGAATAAAAATTTGTCTGTGATACATGCCTCTTTGCGTGACAATTAAGTAGTTGGTGTGAGGGGGTTTCTTACACCCCTCTCTCCCAGGAGGGTCTCCACCAAGTGTGTGTGAGAGCTCTCTGCGTAGACGAACCCTGCTGTAGAGATCCCCATCTAGCAAAGGACCCATGTAGAAAACATGACAAGGTGGTGTGGTCAGGGCCGCCCTAGGAGTGAGCACTGGGCAGCCTGGGAGTATAAGAAGGATGCCACCCAGTCTCGGGACTGTAAACCAAGGAAGGCCTCCCAGAGGAGGTGGTGCCGCTCTGGGAGATAGACAGTATATGGGGAGGGAGAGGGCAGGAAATGACCAGCTGGGTTTTGGACATGTGTTTGAGATCTCACAGGACCTGCAGGCAGGGATGTTGCAGTCACAGCTGGATAGCAGAGTCTGGAAGTTGGCACAGATGCGGGTTAAAGACAGAGTTTTGAGGGTAAGGACAGTGGGGGGTTTAGCCCCTGTGAGGAGGTTGCCTGGCCAGCACATGGAGAGGGGAGCTTGGGGGAAACACTATGGGAGGCTCCTGGATTGAGAAGAGCAGGAGAGCCAGAGTGGGGCCTTGATGAGAGACAGCTGGGAGTCGGGCCTTGGAAGCAGGAGAAGGGTGAGTTTTGGTGCTTAGTAGAGAGATGCCAAGTGAAGGGGCTGGGAGAGCAGCTGCTACTGGTATAGTGTAGTCGGTGACCATCCCCTAGGGCTGTCATGACAAAGCCCCACACACTGGGATCCAGGTGCCCCAGTTCTGGAGGCTAGAAGTCAGAGATCAGGGTGCCAGCAGAGTTGGTTCCTTCTGAGACCTGTGGGGGAGGGATCTGCTCCAGCCTCTGCCTTGGCTTGTGGATAACTGTCTTCTCCCCATGTCCCTTCACCTCGCCTCCCCACGACGTGTGTCTCTGTGTCCAGATGTCCCCTTTCTAGAAGGACACCAGCTAGAAGAGATTGTCCAATCTCGCCCACCTGAAAGACCTTTTTTGAACTTGATCACCTCTGTAAAGTGTCTGGCTCCAAACAGTCACATTCTGAGACTCTGAGGGGTTAGGACTACGTCGTCTGAATTTTGGGATGGACACTTTTCAACCTGTAGCAGCAACCTCGATTGTGGGGGGCAGAAGCCACATGAGAGGCCTAAGGAGTGGAGTGTGGGAGTCTCGAAGGGTGCTGAAAAAGGAGGAGGGTGGGGCTGAGTGCAGACCTGGGGGTGCAGACGGGGTGGTAGAGTGCAGGGTGCTGGAGTGCAGGGTACTGACTGGAATACGGGGTGCTCATATGTGCACGCCCACACCTCCCATGCACACGCCTCACGTGCACACACTCATCTCAGGGGAGCCCTTTCCCCAGCTGGCTTGCTCGTGCTTCTGCTGGCCCTAGCTGGCTGTTTGGGATCACAGCCTGGAGAAGGTGTCTTGTTTATCTGCTCAGTCCAGACATTGGGAAGTGCTTAGCGCAGGGGATTGGGTGTGTGTGTTTGTGTGGGGGGGGCGTGAATAAATAGCACCCCTTTCCTCCCCTCCTGTGCACAGAACCGATTGAGTCCTAATTCACTGGCACAGATGGAGCTCAAGATACCATCTCTTGGATGGATAAGGCTGAGTGGAGGATGTTGCTTACCATGTTTCTTCACATCTAAGATGCCACCAAATGTAAGACATTCTTCGTAGAAACATCACAGCCCATCACACTATGTCTCACCATCTGGTTGGAAGATGCATCCCAATTTCCGAGATGTCAAGTGTGCAAAATGTACATCTTCCACAAGTGAGATGTGGTGTGTTGGGGACGCTGTGCACTTCCCATCATTTCCCTGAATTCAACCCACCAGGTGCTAGGCTGAACTGGATAGCCACAGGCCTCTCTTGCAGGGGCAGGGCTGCCCACCAGCTTCCTGTATGGTGGGGAGCAGCCAGGGCGCACCCTTCGTCAGAAGGGCAGATGTGTGGGAGAAGCCAGAAGGAAAAGGTTGTTCCTTCTACCCCTTGACTCAAGTCCCTGCTTCCCTGTGGGGAGAGTGAACGGGGAGTGGGTGGGGCATGTCCAGAATGGTGCTCCAGTGAAGTCTTCCCTACCAGAGGCAAGCAGCAGGGGTGGAGGGCCCCCTGGGACACTGCCTGGGGGAGACACTTAGCACTTAGCACTTTGCCTGGCACACAGTATATGGTTACCGGCAAGGGGAGAGACACAGGTAGATGTGCAGTAACCCATGGCAGGAACTTCCCAGACAGCAAAGCTGCTGATCAAGTCTGCCAAGGCATCTGCTGTTCCAGTGACTGCAAACTGAGCAGCTACTAGGTGACGGCCCTGGGAGTTAAGACCTCATTGCCTAAGGGGGGAGTCGTTTACATAAAAATCACCGAAGACACAGCAGTGGGGATCCCACCGAGGTGTGGTGTGAGTCCAGTGGAGGACTTCCGGCTGGCCTCCTCCCCGGGGAGCGTTAGAAGGTGCCCAGAGGGAAACCACTTCACTGCCTTTATTAACTGGTGACTGAGTTTGAGAATCACTCCCTAACATCCCTCCTTCATACTGCTCAGGACTTGAGAAAAACTCCTTCCCTGTGCCAGCTTGCTTTAATCTCTCTCTGCTTTTTGCCATTTAAATGCAAGCATCTGCCATTATCTTGAGAAACCCCTGCTACCTCTCCTCAGGACCCATCCTACCCCATTTTATTAGCTGGGCCCCTTGGGGTCTTGGTGACAGAAATCAGAAACTCAGTTCACCCATGACCTCAGGTTCCCACCAGCATCTAGCTTGTGAATATCTCAAGCCTCACCCCCAGGCTGTGTGTGTAAACTTAAGAGAGAAATTGAAAATGAAAACTGTATTTGTACCCCCATTGCAAAAGCCCTCCATCTCCTCCCAGTTAGACCCCATCTAGTTCCTTCCTTCTCCCACCGCACACATTCTCGCCAATCAGCTGGACACAGAAGAGTCCACAAGACTCATCAACAGCCCCTTTGCAGCCAATATGAAGACCGCAGCCGAGAGACAGATGGTCCGTGTCCATCCTGTGGCTCCGGGCATGATGCGCTGTGCAGATTGTGGGCACTGGAAGCTGGCAGAGGAGGTGGTGGGCTCTCCCTGGGTCTCGTGCATGGGTGTGTTATGTCCTCCACCACATGCATCATGGAGGCTCAGAAAATGCCACCTACAGAGACCCCAATATCCACCAAGGGAATAATGAAGACACTGGAGAATGCAGGCAGCTCCGGGTACAGCTGGTGGGGAGGGGGTGAGAAGAGAAAGGACTTGTTTAATAGGCAAAGTGATACGGGTGGGGACGAGAGGGCTGGGAGGAATCTTAACACTATAAAGGGAGAAGGCACCTTAGTCACAGCAAACAGGATTCCAAACTCCCACTTATGGTGAGCTCAGTGTAAGCCCCACTCCTCATGCCTTTCCTTTCTTTCTTTTTTCTTTCTTTTTTTCAAGATGTATTTATGCATACAAGAACTGGGGTACAGGCCAGAGTTTTGGGGTGTGAGAGGATTCACCAGAGACAGTGGGGAACAGAACAGGCAGATCAACTGAAATACACTGCTGAGGGGAGCAGCAAGCCAGTCAGGAGAGGTTTGCTGTGCCAAGTGGGTCACCTCCCTGGCTGGGGATCGAACTCATGCTGCAGAGGCTGTGGTGAGCTTCATAGGTTGCGTCTTAACCCCTTGTGCCACTAGGGAGGCCCCATGCCTTTCCTTTCTAAAGCCACATGAACAAGCTAGTTGAAATTTTCAGCACTTTCTGTCATTTGAGTCTTACAGATCAACAATGGTCATTTTGTAAATTTAACTAAGGAAAACTCACTGAGCAGAGCTTGTGCATGTGCACATGTTGGGGGGAGGTGGGATACACTGTGAGGTCAGCCCTGTGGTGGTATGTGAACCAGCATCACTGGTGGGGGTGGGGGTGTCGGATGCCCTGAAGAACCACACTTAAGTGATCACCCCACCCCCACCCCCCCAGGACTAACTCTTTCCAGTAATAATTTAACTCTTCGCAAAGTCATTGATTTGGGAATTCAATGTGCAACCTCAAATGGATCTTTTGAAAAGGACAGGGGTCCTGTAGGGCAAAGAATGGACCTGTTTATTAGAACTCTGGGTTCTTTGAAACTGCCTCAGGGGCCCTGGGGAAGGAGGCTCTGGACCCCACCCTTCCTCCCTTTCATGGCCAAGGGCACAGTCAGCTACCCACAGGGCTGAGGGACAAGGCATGAAGGGAGAAGGGATATAGCAGAGGTTGCTTTGGACAGGAAGGGGCTTCTGCAAGGAGCTGCTGTTCTGCTCCAGCTGCCTCTGGTCCAAGTTGCCAGAGCTTATTTTTCAGAGGTTGACGGTCATTTTTGTTGCACCTCTTAATTTTTGAGTTAGTAACAACTAACTTGATGAAACAGTGAAAGTATGTCTGTGGGGCCTTTGGGCTGGGGTTGGCTGTAAGACTTAAGTTTTCTTTGCAGGAACTCAGTCCTGTGAGTTAGTTGAGCCTATGCTTGAAATCCTGGGCTGGTGAGCTCATTACCTTCCAAGTGAGCCCCAGTATGGGATGGACTGATCTTTGCTGGGCGACTTGCATGTATTAGGCACCTGCTACATACTACACATTTCCTACAATTTGGTTCAGTGGGCAGAGGTGTAAGGGAGTGAATGGGGGGGGCAAAGCATGTTGGGTCCTAAGAGCCCCCTTGATGTCAGGCTCAAGTCCTTGGTGACTTAATTCCTTGAAACGAGTAACCTTTATTCCAGCTGTCATTTGCCAAAGGGTCCTTCATCAATTGCCAGATGATCTGATTAAGTAAGGACACTCAACCACTCTCTCTTCCACGATCATTCCCAGCGTAGAATGAATTTATGCAAGTGCACCGGCCAGGGCCCTGGCCCTTTGGGAAGTGAGGAGCATGATCACATTACCTGTGCCTGCTTTGTCTCCGGCCAACCAGACTAGACCATACAGGTAAACTGTAGATATCCAGGTTTTGTCCTTCTGTGTGTCTAGCTCATGGAACAAAGATGCTGGTGAAGCCTACCTGAGCTGGGTGGGCAGGGGTGAAGTTATTTACCTATGTCCCGGATCTTGGGGTGAGGTCCCCTTTCCAGTTATTAGAAAAATCTGCCTGAAATAGGTCTCTGCATCTTCTGAGCAAAGTTGTTCAAAGGCCCCCACTACAATCGTGTTAGCTCTCAAACTGTCCCCAGTCCAGGTAGCAGATTAGAGATGACAGGCAGGCTGGGTATGGATTAGAAAAAACTTCCCCTTTATTGAAAACAGATTAACTCTTAGTAGCTCTGATTACAGTCAATCAGCTTACAGATAAAATTGCTCAAACACTGTACAAAAGTCTCAAGAAAAGGAGAATAAGACTGCTTCTAAAAAACACAGCTTGAGCAGGAACAAGAGGAATATCAGTCCCTGCTCTGGGACTTCACACTCAAATAAAAAATAAAAAATAAGGCAGCAGGGAAGAGCCCTCTTCAGGGTCCCAGAAGTGCCACTGGAGGTCCATCCTGTCAATTGGGCTTCTTGGAAGAGCAGCCTCATCTGTGAGTCCGTATGCTGCTGCAGATTTGGGCCAGGCGGCTCTAGGAAGAGGAGGAGAGAGGTCACCGAGGAGCTGGCCCAAGCAGCACGTAGCCTGCTCAGGCCACACAGCGTTGGTCTCCTTGAACCCTCCACTCAGATCACAAAACACCTGACCTCTCTGAATCTCCATGAGCATGTGAATAGTTGCCTGGCAAGTGAGACAGTGAATGGGGTAACTTGTCCACAGCAGAGCTGGAGAGTGTTACTGGATTTGAGTGGCGGTGTGGGGCACTCAGCACTGGGCCCACATTCAGCAGGATGTCTTTGGGAAAACAGTCCCACCCACATGTAGGTTTTTGGAGGTTCCCTTCACGACCCAAGAATGCTGGCCTTCGGCCACTGAGCTGGCAGTAAGTGCTCCTGTCCACCACCCAAGGTCGTGTAGACTGGACCAAGGAGGCCCATGCAACCAAAGCTGAGCCACCACTTAAATTCTGCCACTTGAGAAGCTCAATGAAGCCAAGAAACCGGAGAGAGACAAAAGAGCCAGGACTGGGGCTGTCCAAAGCCAAATCTGAACCAATGCTAAGGGGGAGCAGAACAAGGGCCTTGTGGAGGTTTTCTGCTGAGAAGGGTGAAGAGGTGCAAGAGAAATGGTGCTTGGGGCTCACAGATATCACTGGGTGAGCTGGTGCACCAGAGCAGGGCCCCACCACTCTGAGGCCTGGCTGTTCAGGGCTTTTTTTGATTCTGTGCCATTCCTTATAAACAGCCCCTCCCCACATTCCAACAACAGTGGGCAAATGTCAGTTCCTGGTGGACTGGGTACCCTAACATTTGAGGTGGCATTTGATTGTGCTATGCTGCACCCCCTGGCGGGCACCCTGGGATGGGCAACGCTCAGTATTCATGCAGGGACAGACCCGTGGCTGTGTGAGCAGGACAGCAGTCATGCTCCCTCCGGTGGGGGAAGGCAACATAATGGTAGGTACAAAATTCTCCAGCTGCTGGAATATGTGTGCCTGGGGCCTTGAAGACCCCGCAAAACAGGAAAATCTCTGTAAAGATGGCTTGGCAGACTGAATGACACCAGGCGCTGTGGGCCTTTCCAGTCCCCATCTGGCCTCAAGCTGCACTTTTCAAATCACACATTTCTAAGAAGGCGAGTTCTAAATTTAGGGGGAAATTTTTTTTAAGTGGTAATGACTAAACACAGCTGGAGAGAGGAGATTGCAATTATCAAACATACATCTAGGGAAAGTCACAAAGACTTAGGTCCAAGCACATGTGGACGCCAGGCACCAATCACCCATCCATCCATAAACTATGGCTAAAGTATTTCCACGAGTGTGGCTAGGTGCTTTCATCTAGAGGAATTTTCCAGGGTTAAAAGGGGATGATTCAGATATTAATTCCCATATTTTTGCAAGACAATTAAAATGCTGCTACCTGTTTTGCTGGCTGCTCATTTGAAAAAAACAGTTAAAGAAGAATGGGCTTTTAAAGGTCAGTCTTCCTTGCTCTCTGCCAGAGATAACCGCTCTCAATTCCTTATGCATTCTTCCTCAACCATCCCATGTGGGCTCATAAAGGACAGACATGCTGTTCTGTACCTTCCTCGGAGATGCTCGTGATCACAAAGCCCATCCCCACCAGCACTCACAGGCCCACCTTGTTTTGAATGGCGATCCCCTCTTAATGTGTAGCTGACCAGCCCTATGAAGGTGTTGACTTATGCTGGAACATTCTTGTTTATACAGGTCTTCCAAAATGTGGTGTCAATTTTCAATTCGACACTGGGTAGGCCAAGAATATAGGTAAGTGCCTACCCATTTAAAAGTATCTACCCATTTGGTCAGAAAAGACCCAAAATGTCACTGGAGGCCCCCTAGTGACACAGAAAGGATGTCCTCTTATCAGATAAAGAATCATTTTGTCACTGAACACAGGTGAATGAACCTGTGCCTCAGAAGAGTCTTTCCTCTGAGAGGGCTTCCAAGGATTCAAGAGTATTTCCTAAACACTCTTCTTTTCTGACTAATGTTAAATGTTGGCAGTCAACACTCACCTTGAGTCAAACCCGGTGTCAGACCTGGAGTTGGTTTCGCCATAGAGAACTCCATTCAGCTCACTGATGGGGTAACAGTGTTGCAATGGCTTGACCTGCAGCTAAGAAATCACCATTAGGAGGGTCCTCACTGGTGGTGCAGGGCTTAAAGTCTCAGTGCTATCAAGCTCTTACCAGCCACTGCAGCACGAGTTCGATCCCAGGCCAGGGAGCTGACCCACATGGCACAGCAGACCTCTCTTATCTCACCCGCTGCTTCCCTCAGCAGTGTATTTCAGTAGAACTGCCTGTTCTGCTCCCCATTCTGTTTCTGGAGAATCCTCTCACTCTCCACACCACTGGACTACAGACCAGTTTTTGTGTGCATAAATAAATCTTAAAAAAAAAAACAACAAAATAAATGACCATTAGCTGTGCCAACACTTGGGTCCTGTGGCAGCAGAGCAGGTAATGCTTGGGAGAGCACGCACCATGTCACATGCTGTTCTGAACCCCAAGTTCCGTATCCTGGTGCTTTCACAGGGCCCAGCCCAGGGCATTCTTTACACAGGACCTGGAGGAATATTTTGAGAAACAGGCAGGGGTAGCTCTGACCACGGCCTGTCAGGCAAGTAAACACACATGGGCCTGACCCTGCTGCCTCACCCTCCATGTTTGCATGAACACAGGAGTAGGGAGGATGGAGATGCGGGTGGCAGAACAAGCGAAGGTGTTGGGTAAAGTCATTTCTAGTGGCCCCTCCAGCTAGACGCTCAAGGATTCAATGAGTTTAAATCTACTTGGACAAGGTGAGGCACAAAAGCTCTTTTCACCTCATTTCACCTCTGAGATATGTGGGGTTCTCCAATAAACCCCAAAGTATCTACATTGGGAAAACCCCCTACTTTTTGGTTCTGCCCTTTCCTTGAATGGACTGGGCTCTCTTCTTAGATGGAGGACAACGTTTGACCTAAGGTTACAAAAAACTCCATAAACAGGAGAGGCAAGTGAGGGTAAAAGAAGTTGGGGGAGATGGAGACCAGCTCTGGAAAAGAAAACTAACACTGAACATAAGGTCTGTCTCACAGAATGCAGTGACTTATAAATAATTCAGAATATAACTGATCAACTAAGTTCTCGTACCAGCTGGATCTTCAAAATTGAGGATTTTGGCCAAGACTAAAGGTAAGTCTCTTTAATGGACCACACCTGGCAGTTCCTGACCCCCAGCCCCTACTTTACATAAAGTGCATAAAGGCCCCAGGGTGCTCAATCTGAGGAACCCTCAGTGGTCCTTCCCCCTCCCTCAGAGTCCTGGGAGATACCCCACAAGGACCATTCCCGACCTTCTGACTGTTCAATTCTCCCCTCCCTTGTGCACTGAGACATTCACCATCTTCCTGACTCTGCTGCCTGTTCCCCTGCAGTCTGCTCATGAGCTGCTCTTTCTGCCTCCCTCCTAGTGTCCATCCTCAGCCCCCTACCCCCATGCTTTCCCTGCACAGCCCCACTGACTCCCAAACCGGGACAAGTGCCTTGAGATCTGAGACAAGTGGCACATTAACTGTTGCCTTTCACCCCAGCTCAGACCTCTTTTCCTCCTGAGGGGGCCTCCCCCTGGCAGGCAGCAGCCCATGCTGAAACCATTCAGTCACCGTCACCATCTTGTCCATTCTCTCTTTTAACACTAATCTCAAAGCCATCCCTTCCTTTTATAGGGCCAGTGCCTGAGTTCAAGAATTACATTATAAACCAATGTTACCTCAAAAAAAAAATAAAACACTAAAAGAAAAAAAAAATTACAATAGCCTCCCAACTGGCTTCCTTGTTTTCCCCTCCCGGGTTATCATGAACAGTGTTCTGGAACACTGCTCTGATCATCTCACTTAGCAGCACCTAATGAAATGCAAACCCCCCAGCTTGGCACACAAGGCCACTATCTGGCTCCTACTCTCCCCAGTTCCCCTCAGCGTGCAGCCCAGATACACTAGGCTACTCCTGTTCCTTTATAAGACACTGTGCCTGCCTCCTGCAATGCCCCTTCTTCTCCACTAGTAGCTAGAAGCTCACTCACCTTTAAAGGCCTGGCCACCTCCTAACAGGGAAGGTAAGACCTGAAAGATCCCCTTCCCTGTTCCATGCACTTTGTACAAAGTTCTATCATCACTTATGTCATTGGTCATTTAAAGGGGAATCTCCTGTACAAAACTGAACTCTGGGAGGACAACAGTTTTCTACATATTTCTGGATTTTGTCCCCTGACCCCGCCTTCCCAAGCCACTTACTGTTGCTGCTTCTTCCAGGTCACCTTTGTTTTTTCCAAGGGCTTGAAAAAGAACATTTTGTTCAATTAACAACAGATTTTAAATCATTTTCTAAATACAAACATTTATCTTTCTAAAACTGGACCAAGTTACGCCCTTGCACAACATTCAACATCTAGTTTTTACAATCTAGTCTAATCTTTCTCCTGACCTAGTCTACATGCCCCCATGTTAAAGTTCCTTTTATTTCTGTCTCTCATGACTTAGTGTCTCGCTACTTCTCATGTCCTCTGCCTGAAATACTCTTTTGTATCTGTCAAATAACTAATTCATTCCTCCAAAACTCAACTCAAATCCAAAATTCTGTTCACAACAGGTTGCTGCCAGTCTGAATTAGCTGCTCATGTGCATCATACCCAGTAATTTTACCCAGAGCTGTTTAGGTGTCCAGACTATCTTCAGATGAATTCCTTGAGGACAGAAGTACTATTCATAACTTCTGGCAAAAATAACATACGAAAGGTATGTAGTAAGTCATTGATGAATGGAGAGGTCTTGGCAGATTCAGAATAAAACATAAGTCCTCCTGCTAGGAACCCCTGTAGTATCTTATATAACAGTTAAGAACTCAGATTTTGGAACCAGAAACCCTGGGTTCAAATAGACTCTGCCACTAACTGGTCTATGAGCCCTTGAGCAGAGTACCAATCTGTGTATGTTAGCTTTTCAGCTATAAAAACATGAACAATATTAATAATGAACACAATATATATGGGGAGAAAATTAGTTCCTATATGTAAAACACTTGGTAAAAAACCCCAGTTTTACACAGGAAGCATTCCAAAAGTGTGCAGGAGACCATTATTCCATCTCTTTTGTGGTATTTGTGATATTCACTATATAATCATTTATGACGTTTGAAACAACCCTTCTTTATTAACTTGTTCAGTTCCCGAGGGGAGGTACAATGTTTGATTCCCCAGTGCCTCTTCAGCATCTAACACTGTGACTGACACATGCCCAATGAATATTTGTAAACAAATAGATTTGCAAACAAATAGATTGCAAACAAATTTGTAAACAAATAGATTAACAAATAAATGGTTCAATCAAAGGATAATTAAATGCCCACTATGTGAGCAGAACATGCATTTCTATCCAGGAAGGAAGCCACATACTTATTAATAGTAAAGAAGACAGAAAAGGGTAACCCAGAAGAAAAGACAGGGCTGGGACACTAGGAATGGGATTTTTTTATTCTGGCCAGGAAACACCTTTGGCTCTTCCTGAACTTTATTTACCATTTGATTTTCCCATTTTTAATGGCTATGTAATCAATTTATACCTGCAGAACCCGCAAAAGAGCTGTTGTGGTTATACTACCACTGGAGCTCTGGTAACAAATCAAGTTATTCAGTCATTTATTAATTTTTATATGCTTCGATAAAATATCACAAAACAAAATATTTGGTGACACAGGGAATTTATGTGAGTTGCACCTTTCCTTGCATCCATAAGCACATTTTGCTGGAATACAGCCACACCCATTCATTACAGCTCCTGGAGCTATAATGGCAAAGCAGAGTAGTGGCTACAGAAACCCTTCTGGCCCACAAAGCCCAAAATATTTACTCTCCAGTTCTTTAGAGAAAACGTGTGGCTACCTACGGGAGAGGGGCGAGATGAGGATGAGCGCTGTGGAGAAAACCTACGCAGGTGGGTGAGCCAGGGGGCTGGGGAAGCAGTAGGATTGCAATTTCCTAGAGCGGCCTGGGAGGACAGCACTCAGGTGAAGGCTGTCTTGGTAACCAGAGAGGCTCCAGGCCAAGCCCTGGGGAACCTCTGGCTGCTCTTACCGAAGTACTCCAGCCAGTTCATCTCGCGCAGCGCCTTCGTTCAGGTCATCTATCTCCTTGAGCATCTTCTCCTTGCTTGTTTCCTGTTTCCACTTGCGAAAGGGCAGAACCGACAGGACACCGGTTACCTGGCAGGTAAGCGGGGTCTGCAGTCGTGCAGCCTGAGACCGACCCACCGGCGCCCGGCGAGCGCCCCAGACAGCAGCGAGGACGCGGGTTCCGCCCTTACCTTCCCGGTCGAAGTCCTTAAGGAAGGAGGCGAGCTTGCGGCTGCGGAGGGAGTTGGTCTTGGCTACCCCTCGGCTGCCCTTCCTAGCGGGAGCCATGGCGCGTGTCTGGAGGCTGTGGGGGGCAGGGGACCGAGCCACAGGGGTCAGCGGCAGGTGGAGCCGGGGCAGCGAGGGGGCTGCAAAGGGCGGGGGACGGCGAATGGCGTGCCAGGGGGTCAGTCGGGCACCCCAGTCCCTCCGGGCCTGTGCATCAGGAGTCTCAGGGCGCTTACCTGCTGGTCCAGAAACGGGGCTCGAGCTGAAGGCCCGCAGATCCCAGCGGGACGTGCGACCGCCGCCACCAAATTCAAACTGCCACAGGCTGACCTACAAGAACTCGCCGGCTTGGGGACCACAGCACCCAATCACCAGGAAGCCTCCCGGACAGGCCCCCCAGACCACGGGTAGGACTACAACACCCAGGAGGCTTTGCGACCCACGTCATACTTTCGCGACCCAGTAGCCGTGTAGGGACGTGCGCGGGGAGCTTGCAGGTGTGTTGGTGGCGACCCTGGCGGGTCCCCAAAAGTTGATTGCCTTAGTTTTAAGTCTACCCGCTGGTTTAGGGAAAGCGACTGGCAGTCCCAAAGGGAGAACACAAGGCTCCGGCAACGGCAGGGGGGGTCAGGTGCGCGGGAGACAGGGCTTGGGTCCTGGGAATCAGCGGTCTGAAGCCGGAGGCTGCCTTATCTCCGACGAGCCTTCTCCAAGCCAGGAAACCTTCCCCAAGTGGGAAGCTGGGTCGCTGCCTTCCGAGACCCTCGCTAACGGTAAAACAACGCCTCGCGCGGGGAGCCTCTGTGAAGGGGGTGGGGGGGGGTGTAGACAGTCCTACCTGAGGAAACTCTTCTTTAATTGAATTACCTCTCCCGAGACGAAATAACTCCCACCCTCGACCTGGCACTTCTGCCGACATGGGACCCTAATACTGACGTTGTTTTCCAACAGAAGATGACTCAAGACGGACCGCTGCTTGCAGTGCAGGAGTCCCTGAGGAAGTGCTTTCCCGCGGTGGAGGAGCAGCAGGGCTTGTGGCAGAGCACTCTGAAGGACTGCCCACCGCTCCTCCTCTCCCTCAGCAACCTGGCAGAGCAGCTGCAGGCTGCACAGAACCTGCGATGTGAGGACGTGCCAGCACTTAGGGACTTCCCAGACTTAAAGGAGCGTCTTACCCGCAAGCAGCTGTCAGCTGGTGATTCTGTTCTGGACAAATTAGGGGAGAAGCTGTAAGAGGGTCAATGATGCTCTTTCTTGGTGGGAAGATTTCAAAACTGGGTGTTTTGTAAGTAGCTAGGATCAGTCAGAAGGGCACTTTTAGCCTTCCTTGAGAGTGGTGCATTTGGAGATGTCTCCTCCTTCCCTCCTTCCCATCTGCTGCAGTGGGACTAACCTGAAAAAGCCATTTCTGGCAGTTCCCTTGTTAAACTCCACATGGTGGTGAACTTAGAAATTTCCAAAAGTGAGATGAAAGCTCATTAGATCTCCTGTGTATTTTCTTCCTAAGAAGTTAATGAGGAACTGTAAACTTTTGATGTCAGCGCTCAGGGATTTCCACACATTGTTTTAAAATCTTTCCAACACCTCTCTGACTTAACCTCACTGAAGCCCGTTTTGCATATGAGGAAACAGATTGCCTGTGACCTCATAGCTAGTAAAGCTGGATTCTACTCGAGGTGTACCTGTCACCAGAGCGCAGAGTTCTTAAATACCACTTGGTTCTGCAGGTGTTTCTGTGCCCAGAAGTAATGTCTCTAGCCTTTTTTTCTATTTTTCATTCCCCCCTCCTTCAGAGTTGCAGATAGAGAATAGACAGGCACATGTCATCTGTCGTCTTTTTTTTTTTTTTTTGACAAAAGAAAATGTTAGTGTATTGAATCTATGCCATAAGCAAATAGGGAACTCAGAGATGGAGACCTTCCTTGTATTTATTTGTACAAAATTCGTTTATTAAGCACCAGCGGTATGCCAAGCACAGGTGCTGGGAATACAATGAACCAGATTTAGCTCCTTAGTGTAGTAGAAGAAATAGTCATTCAAATTATGTTGTGGTGTAGTCTAAGCTAATGAACTTTCAGCTGATAAAATATTTATGTGTGGGTATTGGACTGTCATTATAAGTCTTGCTTTTTCATTGTGAGTCATAGTCAGACATTTTCAAAAACCACAGTTCTAGGCTAGGGACCACCTTGTCCTTTGGGAAGTTGTGGCCTTGGTGGCCAGGCCCCTTGGAGTCAGCAGTGGAATAACAATATTTACCATAAACAAGGCACTACCCTAAGCATTTTTTACAAAACAAGTTCTGGCCAATTTTATTGAAGAAAAATTATGTTTGATATGTGTTTTACCAGTCTGTTCTGGTGTGCTTCTAATGCCGTCAGAATCACCATGGCCTATGATAGCCACTGTGCATGCTCTGTGGTATTGTCCACACACTGTGCCCAATTCAGCATTGTGACTGATGGGTGCCAGTTCTGGCCAACATGGCTAGTCCTGTGTCTCAGATTTCCTCAAGTGACTGGTTTCCTGTTGCCTTGTATGGTCATTGTCAGAGTCTTCGTGTACCTTACCGCGACTTGCCACTTTTCATGAGTTGAAACCTAGAGTTAATCAACTTTTGTTGCATATGCGGCCACCATCTTTCTATTTTAGTTGTGAGATGGCCCCCAACCAAGAGAAAGGAAGGCTGTGCTAAGCATTGTATATGCATCATTGCATTTAATCTTGACTGTAACATCACTCATTGATTTGTTTGTTCATCAAAAAGTGTGGTGTTCTATGTGCCAGTGTTGATATTCTAGGTACTTAGAATGTGCAGTGAGCAAAACAGACCATTTTTTACACAATTGAGAGTAAGTAACTGTTCTGCAATCATCCCAGGTTGGATAGGTTTATCATTGGTTCAGGCAGCTTGAAGGAGAATCTTGGAGCCCTTGGCATCATACCCACAGGTTAAGGGGAAACAAGCCAGCAGGAGCAACTTGGTCCTCCCTGCACATCCCCATATGCTCCTTCCTCTCTTAGCTGTTCTCTCACACCCCCCCATTGTACTCTGCTGCACAGTCTTCTTCCTGTCCTTACATGCTCAGTCTTCTGGCTCAGGTGCACCCACTTACGCACGCCCACACTGTCCTGCAGATCAGGCACGCATGTTAAGACCATGGTGCCGATCATGGATGCTAAGTTATCAGAAAAAAACTGATAACTTCCATTTACCCTCCAGTAACTTCCTTAAGGCCTGTTACAGTAAGTAGTCCATGTGCATCCAGAGCCCAAATTTTTACCATTTGAGAATTTACTAGGTTGGGGCTAGGTAAAATATGGGTGGTACTGGTTTGTGTCTTTAGTTTTCTATTGCTAATTCCCTTTCACATATGTGACATGAGACTGTGGGCATTTGTGCTTCTTTTACAGTTTTATGGTAACCCCAGAAAAGCCCCTCAGTCTTTACCTTCTTTGGCTACCGGGCTTATCACCGTTTTGAGAGCCTTGTAAATTCTCCAGCCTCTCCATTTTAAAATTCTTTTTTAATTCTTGAGTTATCTCTACCTCTAAGGCACTGTTACCAATCTCCTTAGACCAGTGTGTCTCATTTGGACACAGTTTTTCCCCTTTGGACATTTGGCAATGTCTGGAGACACTGTCCCGATTTGGGAAGGGTGGGGCCGTGGTTTGCACCTATCATCTAGTGGGTAGAAGCCAGGGGTGCTGCAAAACATCTACAATCACAGGGCAGGCTCGTACTGCACAGAAATGTCAGCGTGCCAAGGTTGAGGAGCGCTGCACTAGGCCTTTCTCATGACACTGCCTAATATCAGACTCTTTGCCCCAGAGCTGTTCTCCTCAAGGTACGAGACACGGTCAGCAGCCACGTGGAGCGGGTCCTTCAGGTCTATCAGCAGCATGCAGACTCAATTGACATTGATGACATCCTGAAGGCATCGTCCACGAGCCCTTCTGTGGCAGACATGCTGGAATGGTTGCGAGACATCGAGAGACATTATAGAGATTCATATCCTTTGTGCGCATTTCTTAGAATGTCTACAGCTATTCTAGGAGGTGTTTTTAATTGTAGTTTTCACAAGCTATCAAACTAAATAGTATGGGTAAGTTCTCTTTGGTTTTGGATCTTGGGTTCTCCCGGCCTCCCTTCATATAACCATTACTCAAAATGCTGCTTGTGTAGCTATACCTGCCAGGTTTTGTTCCAGGTGCTGAGAGATAGGCATTAAAAAAGAATGTGGGGCCTCCCCTGGTGGCGCAGGCAGTTGAGCACCATGCTGTGAAGCTGTCCGCAGCCTCTGCAGCGCCAGTTCGATCCCGGCCTGCCAGCGAGGGTCCTACATGGAGTGGCAGGACTTTTCCTGTCACGCCCGCTGCTCCCCTCAGCAGTGTATTTTGTCAGTCTGCCTGTTCTGTTTCCCCCCGCTCTGTCTCTGGTGAATCCTCTCACCCTCCCATGAATCTGGCCTGGTTCTTGTATAAATAAATAAATCTTTTTAAAAAAAAAATGTGTAGGAGGTTATATGGTGAAGGTGCTGTGGAGGAAAATAAAGTGAGGTTGCGCTGTGGCTAGGATTTAAAATACAGTGGTCAGGGTTCAGAAAATAACATTTGAGAAAAGCCCCGAGAGGGTGAAGGCAGAGAGCCTTGTGCTATTTGGGGAGAGCATTACAAAGGTCCTGAGGCGAGCGTTGCCTGTTCTGTTAAGAAATTAGCAAGGAGACCAGGGTGGCTACTGTAGAATTAGGAGCAGGAGCCCAACAGGGAGATGAAGTCAGAGAGACAGGCTAGACCTTGTAGGACCTTGAAGGTGTTTGAAAGGATTTTGACTTTTACTTAGAGATGGAAAGCTGCTAGAAGGTATTAAGTGCAGAAAGAATATGATCAGACTTTCGTTTTTAACAATATGACCCTGACTTGGTTCTGAGGAAAGTCGGGGTGGTGTAGGGCAAAGGTGGAAGCAAAAAGACCAGTTGCATTTCTGCCTTTTTTCTCTCAATTCTTGCCTGGTACCTTCCTCAACCCTCCTTCATTTGAAAAACTCCCAAATGCAATCTTTATTCTTGTCTCTAGTCTTGATTTTCACTTTACTGCAGATGTGTCCGACTGGATTGCTCATGGGACCACCCACTCAGATTTAAAATGAAAGTTCTCTAACCTCACATTCAACTCTTCCTTTAGTTGTAGAGGCAGCCCTGTCTAATTCTGCGTGTGGGGACCTTAGCATCTTCTTCCCTCTTCGTCTCTGCCTGCTTTTTCTGTTGCAGCAGCAGCAGCTGCAGCAGCGCCAGGAGCTACAGCTGCTGCTGACATTGCTGAGCACTCCAATGCCACGTGCTGTTCCAAAGGTGTCAGTCACACGTCACTTCCTTTGATTCTGTTCACTTGTTCCTGTGTTTTCCTCCTCGTGGTTTCTTTCTTCTCACTTCCACCCTTAGTCACATGCATCCTCTTGATAGGTTTCTCTGTCTCTGTTTCTTTATGGCCAAAGCATCCTAGTGACCTTAGTCCATATTCCCTCAAGGAGATTGCTTCTGGTCCTGCTACTCATATAGGAATTTTCAGTAGCTCCTGTTACTCGGCACGGGAAGTGAGAATCTCCACGTGGTTTTCCCTGTCCTTTGTGCTGTGGCTCAACCTGCCTCTCAACCGTCTTTCTGTTTTACACACAGTTCCGTGCCAGCCAAGCTTACTTTCCCTGAATCTATTCCATGCTTTCCCACTTCTGTGCCTTTGCTCAAGCTTTTCCTGCCAGCTGGAATCTTCCTACTCCCCTCTAATCTGGATGTTTACTTGACATCCTTTGAATTTCCACAGAATTTTATCTTTCACATACTTAGGCTCTTCTTTTCCTTTTTCTGGTTTGTACCTCACGTGTGAGAGCCTGCAGTGCAGGCACAGTGCTTGTCCCCTCTCATCCCCGCTGACCCTATAGTGCAGAGCCATGTGAGAGAAGATGATACTCAGTAAAGATTTAGGGCATAGGTGAGTTCCCTGAAATGGTTTTTTCCTTCAACATATTTCATTTTCTTTTTGAGCATTCCTTAACTTCCAGGAAGGTACCTGAAGAGGAAGCACCTCCTGTCCTCGATCCAGTGGGGAGACTTGGCAAACATTCAAGCTTTGCCCAGAGCCTGGGACCGAATTTCAGAGGATGGAAATGAAGACCTTGTACACGGTACTTCATCTTCCATGGCCCCCTCCTTTCCTGGTGTCTCGCCTCTGTGGAAGCAATGTAGAGAGGTCTTCCTGGGGCCTGTGTGTTTTTTATAAATCTGATGTCCTGTGTTCTCTGGAGAGGCTGTATGCCATGTTTTTTCTCTCTTCCAATTGCAGATATCCTGTTGAATGTTACCTTCTTCCTGGAAGAGTAAGGATGCCGTGTGTTTATCTGGGGGATACAGTTGGAGACCTACATTGCTGCTCTCTGATATTTTCAAAGCAATTTCTAAAGAAATGCCAAGCTGAAATATTTAAATGGCAATGTCTACAGGCTAAGGATTGGCTTTTTGGAAGATTGGTACTAGATGTTGGGGTTTCGTGCCAGGTCATGGCCAAGGGTATGTGGGCCACTTCTTGTCCTTCCCCGAGATTCAGGAGTGTTTGAAAACAGAGAAGTCTGGAAAAGTGATGCTGAAGAATACCAGAGGCAGAAGCAACAGTCACAGAAGCAGTCGGAAGGAAAGACCAGGTGAGGTGTAGCACCGAGTCTTATTGATACCAGGCCCTGGTTTCATGTATTTGTGCCAACATCTAATTCTTTGACAAAAGAGAAAGTGGCTGGAACCTATAAAGAAGTAAGGGTGATGTTGACACAAAAGTGTTTTCCAATCGCAGTTTCAGTTTCCAGAGCCTACCACCAGGGGGAGGTGGTGCGGCATGAATTATTCTCAGTGCTTTGTCTTGCTGTTGCCCCCCCTAGTTGCTGTTGTCATTTGAGAGTAAGTAATTGGAGATACTGGGGCTCATAAAATGACTTGGTTTTTGGGCTGAAGCTGGTAACTGACTTGCCACATTCCTCTGACACATTGGGTAGCTGCCCAATGTGAGAACATTCAGCCCACTGCCATCACCTGTGAAATGGTGCTGCTCCTTTCAGACCCGTCAGCTTCCTTGGCTGTTGTAAAATTCTGGTTCACTGCATGGAGAAAGTATAGATTTTTTTCAAAAAGAAAATGACCTTTTTTTCTGGCTGCAAAAGTGATACTTTTTTTCTTTAAGCATAGGAATTGTAGAAAGCAAACTAAAATGTGGGAAAGTATAAAACAGACTCCATTGGAGTCTGGTACATGTCCTTTCAGTGTCCAGATGCCCAAGTCTTTGAACAAAGCGAATAGGGTAATACTGATACACACTGTGGCTTAAATTTTCTTTAAAATACTTATGATAATATAGCCATTTTTCATTTCTGTAAATATAATCAACACAATTATATGCCACTTATATTTATGTACCATTTTGTGAATATATTATGTCTTGCATTTTCCATGTATTTTTCTGAATCCTCATGCTTTTCTACCTATATAGTACACTCTAATCATGAAAAACCCAAGTATAATGGAAAGTGAAAATGCTATTTTCAGCCTACCAGGTAACTGTTATTAATAATGTATATATTCTTCCAGGAATTTTGTGTGTGTGTGTGTGCGTGTGTACTTTATCACATACATAGCAAGTATAAATAAAATCTTAAAAGATAAATAGTGAAGTGCTTTGGGGCAGAGATGAAAGAGCACACTAGGAATGTTTAAGTTCAACCAGGGGCAGATTTAAAACAGTGTTTTCTCAAGCTTTAATATGTATATAAGCCACTGGTATCTTGTTAAATTTTAGATTCTGGTTCTGTAGGTCTTGGGTAGGACCGTAGAGTTTGCATTTCTAAAGAGATCTTAGGTAATGTTGACACTGACAGTCTAAGGACTGAGGGAAGAGGTTTAAGTTGTAATACAATAATAAAAGTGTTGTGACTAAGATAAAAACAGCATTTTGGGGGAATAGGGGTGATAAGCAAACTGCTTGTGAGAATTCATCATAGTGACGTGTGCATGATGGCCCTGAAGCTAATTGTACTTGGACTAGGAGAGTTTCGCAGGACACTCCATGCACAGAACACACTCTCAGCAAAGTCATGTTTGAGAAAGAGTAGAAGCAATATTCTTGCTGCTTTACCCCCTAGCACTGGCAAATACTAACAGGGTGACAGGTCACCGGAGTTCAAGGAGGTATGGAAGAGGGGCAGGAAATGGGTCTCTGTAAGGATGGACTGGAGTCAAGTGGTGCTGAGCCCTGATGTCTCGAGAGTGTGTGTTTTGTTCTGTAAGTGGGAGTTGCTTGTTTGTGTGAGTAAAGAGCTTTATAAAGTTCCCTCATTGAAACAAGTGATCACTGCTATAGATTTAAGTGTGTTTATGGTACTTAGTAATAACTGTATTCAGTATAATTGTTTATATTTTGTTCCTTCTCAGCTTTTCATTTGCTATTAAAGTACTATCCTGTTAATTGATTTTAAATTTATAGTGCACTTGATTTACTTTTAAAATAAATGCTACATTCACGTACAAAATTCAGAGGGTGCAAAAGCACAGACCGTGAAAAGTTCTCCCCCAGGTTTCTCAGTAACTGCCTTCCCTGGAGGCAGCCAGTGTGAAGTGTGGGCTTCTCTCAGTGTAGGAGTGGGTACCCCTAAGATGGCCCCCAAAGATGCCTCCCTAGTATTCACACACAGCGCACCCCTCCCCATCAGTGTGGTGCAGAAGTGGTGGATGTCCCTTCTGAAAGTCGGTGATAAACGAGGCTTGCTGCTTCCATCTTGAGTGCTGTCTGTCACTTGCTCTCTTGGGTCATTCACCCTGGGGGGTGAGCTGCTGTGCTGTTGGCCACCGACAGGCCTGAGGGACAAGGCATGAAGGGAGATCTAGCAGGGGTTGCTTTGGACGGGAAGTGGCTTCTGCAAGGAGCTGCTGTTCTGCTCCAGCTGACTCTGGTCCAAGTTGCCAGAGCTTATTTTTCAGAGGTTGACGGTCATTTTTGTTGCACCTCTGAATTTTTGAATTAGTAACAACTAACTTGACAAAACAGTGAAAGTATGTCTGTGGGGCCTTTGGGCTGGGGTTGGCTGTAAGACTTAAGTTTTCTTTGCAGGAACTCAGTCCTGTGAGTTAGTTGAGCCTATGCTTGAAATCCTGGGCTGGTGAGCTCATTACCTTCCAAGTGAGCTCCTGTATGGGATGGACTGATCTTTGCTGGGCGACTTGCATGTATTAGGCACCTGCTACATACTACACATTTCCTACAATTTGGTTCAGTGGGCAGAGGTGTAAGGGAGTGAATGGGGGGGGCAAAGCATGTTGGGTCCTAAGTGCCCCCTTGATGTCAGGCTCAAGTCCTTGGTGACTTAATTCCTTGAAACGAGTAACCTTTATTCCAGCTGTCACTTGCCAAAGGGTCCTTCATCAATTGCCAGATGATCTGATTAAGTAAGGACACTCAACCACTCTCTCTTCCATGATCATTCCCAGCGTAGAATGAATTTATGCAAGTGCACCGGCCAGGGCCCTGGCCCTTTGGGAAGTGAGGAGCATGATCACATTACCTGTGCCTGCTTTGTCTCCGGCCAACCAGACTAGACCATACAGGTAAACTGTAGATATCCAGGTTTTGTCCTTCTGTGTGTCTAGCTCATGAAACAAAGATGCTGGTGAAGCCTACCTGAGCTGGGTGGGCGGAGGTGAAGTTACCTCCGTCCTGGATCTTGGGGTGAGGCCTCCTTTCCAGTTATCAGAAAAATCTGCCTGAAATAGGTCTCTGCATCTTCTGAGCAAAGTTGTTCAAAGGCCCCCACTACAATCGTGTTAGCTCCCAAACTGTCCCCAGTCCAGGTAGCAGATTGGAGATGACAGGCAGGCTGGGTATGGATTAGAAAAAACTTCCCCTTTATTGAAAACAGATTAACTCTTAGTAGCTCTGATTACAGTCAATCAGCTTACAGATAAAATTGCTCAAACACTGTACAAAAGTCTCAAGAAAAGGAGAATAAGACCATTTTAAAAAACACAGCTTGAGCAGGAACAAGAGGAATATCAGTCCCTGCTCTGGGACTTCACACTCAAATAAAAAATAAAAAATAAGGCAGCAGGGAAGAGCCCTCTTCAGGGTCCCAGAAGTGCCACTGGAGGTCCATCCTGTCAATTGGGCTTCTTGGAAGAGCAGCCTCATCTGTGAGTCCGTATGCTGCTGCAGATTTGGGCCAGGCGGCTCTAGGAGGAGGAGGAGAGAGGTCACCGAGGAGCTGGCCCAAGCAGCACGTAGCCTGCTCAGGCCGCACAGCGTTGGTCTCCTTGAACCCTCCACTCAGATCACAAAACACCTGACCTCTCTGAATCTCCATGAGCATGTGAATAGTTGCCTGGCAAGTGAGACAGTGAATGGGGTAACTTGTCCACAGCAGAGCTGGAGAGTGTTACTGGATTTGAGTGGCGGTGTGGGGCACTCAGCACTGGGCCCACATTCAGCAGGATGTCTTTGGGAAAACAGCCCCACCCACATGTAGGTTTTTGGAGGTTCCCTTCACGACCCAAGAATGCTGGCCTTTGGCCACTGAGCTGACAGTAAGTGCTCCTGTCCACCACCCAAGGTCATGTAGACTGGACCAGGGAGGCCCATGCAACCAAAGCTGAGCCACCACTTAAATTCTGCCACTTGAGAAGCTCAATGAAGCCAAGAAACGAGAGAGACAAAAGAGCCAGGACCGGGGCTGTCCAAAGCCAAATCTGAACCAATGCTGAGGGGGAGCAGGTGGAGGTTTTCTGCTGAGAAGGGTGAAGAGGTGCAAGAGAAATGGTGCTTGGGGCTCACAGATATCACTGGGTGAGCTGGTGCACCAGAGCGGGGCCCCATCACCTGTCCCTGCCCACCCCACCACTCTGAGGCCTGACTGTTCAGGGTCTTCTTTGATCCTGTACCATTCCTTGTAGCCAGTCCCTCCCCACATTCCAACGACAATGAGCAAGTGTCAGTTCCTGGTGGACATGGTACCCTAACATTTGAGGTGGCATTTGATTGTGCTGTGGCAGACCCTCTGGAGAGCACCCTGAGATGGATGACAGTATTGCTGCAGGGACAGACCCAGGACTGTGTGAGCAGGACAGCAGTCATGCTCCCTTGGGTGGGGGAAGGCAACACAACGGTAGGCACAAAGCAGAAGCACAGGGCCAATAGACAGTCCTAAGTGCAGCTAAACCAGGAAAACTATTGGAGACGCCCTGTATGACGCGGAAGAGACTTACGGAGAGCTTCCTGACGTTTGCCAAGGCTTCTGGATTCAGCTGTGTAATGTCCACCCTCTGCAAGTCACTGGCCAGTAACCGTATATTCTGTGTGGAAGGGAGTGGGAGTTACATTGGCATGTCCCTTTGGGCAGGAACCTCCATCCAGCAGCCCAGTGTGCCGCAAGGGTTCCCCTTGGTAGCTTGCACATTGGGTGGGGATTGGGGAGTGGCAAGGTGGGGTGGGGGTGTTAGCCCTCAGGAGACCAGGACATCAGTGCTCCACCGGGCTAGGGGCCAGATCAGCCAGGTACAGAGCACACACACTAACTTAGAAATGCCCTGCAGACCCGCACCCGAGAGAACCACCCTTTGTCACTGGACCCAGCCTGGGGCATGCTCCGCTCAGCCCAAAGCCTGGGCTGCACCTGCCTCAGAACCGCTTGGAGTTACACAGAGCGCAGGATGCAGCTCACGCTGCCCTCGGTTGACTGAGACAGGCCCTGATAGTGCCCTTCTCTGGCATGTCTATCACTGCACAGGTCACACGGTACTGAAGCGCGATCGCATCTTGACTACTGAATTGCTTCTCAAGAGCAGGAGCCATATCTTCTACACTCGGGCCTGCCACAAGACAGGTAGGCAAAATAGAGCTGGGGAACAAATGGAACCCAGAGCGGGGCACTGATCCTCTCAGTCTGGGTCTCAACCCTAAGAGAGAAATGGGTTGTCAACCCTAGGAGAGAAACTGGTTCTCTGGGTCCTGCAGAAGTGTGATGAGCAGGAGCCTACAACTGAAAGACGTGTGGGGGAGGGAAGCAGGGGATGGACCAAGGGGAAAATGCTTGATGGAGCAGCACAGAGAGACCTGGGTTCCCTCTGGAGCCTTTACCTCTCCGCCTCCCACTGGCACCGTGAGGAAAATCTCTTTGCTGTCTGCAAGAGGGCTGCCATTCATCGAGACATTGTAAATCCGCTCTCTAGCTGCTGGAGTACGCAGGCCTGGGGTCTTGAAGACCCTACAAAACAGGAAAATCTCTGTAAAGATGGCTTGGCAGACTGAATGACAGCAGGTGCTTGTGGGCCCTTGCAGTCCCCATCTGGCCTCAAGCTGCAGTTTTCAAATCACACATTTGAAGAAGGCGAGTTCTAAATTTAGGGGGAAATTTTTTTTAAGTGGTAATAACTAAACACAGCTGTAGAGAGGAGATTGCAATTATCAAACATACATCTAGTGAAAGTCATACATTTTTTAAAAGATATTTTTATTTATTTATGCATAAAAGAACTGGGGTACAGGCAGGAGGTGCAAGTGGGTGAGAGTATTTACCAGAAACAGAGTGGGGAGCAGAACAGGCAGATCTACTGAAATACACTGCTGAGGGGAACAATGGGCAAGACAGGAGAGGTCTGCTGCGCCATGTGGATTAATTCCTTGGCTGGGGATCAAACTCATGCCAATGCCACAGTGGCTTGCAATAGCTTGATAGCGCTGTGACTTTAACCTCTGCGCCACCAGATGATCCTGAAAGTCACGTAGACTTAGACCATACACATGACGCCAGGCACCCCTCACCCGTCCATCCATTAACTATGGTTAAAGTATTTCCAAGAGTGTGGCTAGGTGCTTTCATCTAAGGAATTTTCCAGTGTTAAAAGGAGATAATTCAGATATTAATTCCCAAACTTTCTCAAGACAGTTAAAATCTGCTATTGTTTTGCCCTAAATGGGCTTTGCCAGATGCTCATGTGAAAAAAAGTTAAAGAAGAGTGGGATTTTAAAGATCAGTCTTCCTTACACTTGGCCAGAGACAACCGCTCTCAATTCCTTATGCATCCTTCCAGATTCATCCCATGTGGGCTCTGTACCCTCCTCAGAGATTTTCGTGATCACAAAGCCCATCCCCACCAGCACTCACAGGCCCACCTTGTTTTGAATGGCAATCCCCTCTTAATGTGTAGCTGACCTGCCCTATGAAGGTGTTGACTTAGGCTGGAACATTCTTGTTTATACAGGTCTCCAAAATGTGGTGTCAATTTTCAGTCCTACCAGGAATATAGGAAAGTGCCTACCCATTTAAAAGTACTTACCCATTTGGTCAGAAAAGACGCAAAATGTCACTGGAGGCCCCCTGGTGACAGAGACAGGATGTCCTCCTCAGATAAAGGATCATTTTGTCACTGAACACAGGTGAATGAACCTGCGCTCAGAGCCTCAGAAGAGCCCCTGAGGGCTTTCCAGGCCAAGGATTCAGGAGTATTTCCTAAATACCCTTCTCTTCTGACTAATGTTAAATGTTGGGCAGTCAACACTCACCTTGAGTCAAACCTGGGTGTCAGGCCTGGAGTTGGTTTCACCATAGAGAACTCTAGTCGGCTCACTGCTGGGGTAACAGTGTTGCAATGGCTTGACCTGCAGGTAAGAAGTGACCATTAGTCAGCTCTCGGGTGCAGTGGCAGCAGCAGAGGCAGGTAACGCTCCGAGAGTACACACCATGTCACATGCTGTGCTGAGCCAAACCCTGTATCCAGGTACTTCATAGGGTCCAGCCCAGGTGATTTTTTATACCGGACCAGCAGGAACATTTTGAGAAACAGCTTGGGTAGGTCTGTCCATAGACCATCAGGCAAGTAAACACACATGGGCCTGACCCTGCTGCCTCACCCTCCATGTTTGCATTAAAAGAAAAAAAGTGGCGAGGATGGAGATGCAGGTGGCAGAACAGGTGAAGGTGTTGGGTAAAGTCATTTCTAGTGGCCCCTCCAGCTAGACACTCAAGGATTCAGTGAATTTAAACTCTACCTGGACATGACGCACAAAAGCCCTTTTCACCTCCTGTTTCACCTCCATGATATGTGGGGTTCTCTAATAAACCCCAAAGTATCTACATTGGGAAAACCCCCTACCTTTTGGTTCTGCCCTTTCCTTGAATGGACTGGGCTCTCTTCTTAGATGGAGGACAACGTTTGACCTAAGGTTGCAAAAAAATAAAAGGTTACAAAAAGCTCCAATAAACAGGAGAGGCAAGTGAGGTTAAAAGAAGTTGGGGAGATGGAGACCAGCTCTGGAAAAGAAAACTAACACTGAACATAAGGTCTGTCTCACAGAATGCAGTGACGTATAAATAATTCAGAATATAATTGATCAACTAAGTTCTCGCACTGGCTGGACCTTCAAAATTCAGGATTTTGGCCAAGACTAAAGGTAAGTCTCTTTAAAGGACCACACCTGGCCTGTTCCTGACCCCCAGCCCCTACTTTACATAAAGCGCATAAAGGCCCCAGGGTGCTCAATCTGAGGAACCCTCAGTGGTCCTTCCCCCTCCCTCAGAGTCCTGGGAGATACCCCATAAGGACCATTCCCGACCTTCTGACTGTTCAATTCTCCCCTCCCTTGTGCGCTGAGACATTCACCATCTTCCTGACTCCGCTGCCTGTCCCCCTGCAGTCTGCTCATGAGCTGCTCTTTCTACCTCCCTCCTAGTGTCCATCCTCAGCCCCCTACCCCCATGCTTTCCCTGCACAGCCCCACTGACTCCCAAACCGGGACAAGTGCCTTGAGATCTGAGACAAGTGGCACATTAACTGTTGCCTTTCACCCCAGCTCAGACCTCTTTTCCTCCTGAGGGGGCCTCCCCCTGGCAGGCAGCAGCCCATGCTGAAACCATTCAGTCACCGTCACCATCTTGTCCATTCTCTCTTTTAACACTAATCTCAAAGCCATCCCTTCTTTTTATAGGGCCAGTGCCTGAGTTCAAGAATTACATTATAAACCAATGTTACCTCAAAAAAAAAAATAAAACACTAAAGGAAAAAAAAATTACAATAGCCTCCCAACTGGCTTCCTTGTTTTCCCCTCCCGGGTTATCATGAACTGTGTTCCGGAACACTGTTCTGATCATCTCACTTAGCAGCACCTAATGAAATGCAAACCCGCCAGCTCGGCACACAAGGCCACTATCTGGCCATTACTTTCCCCAGTTCCCCTCAGCGTGCAGCTCAGACACACTAGGCTACTCCTGTTCCTTTACTAGACACTGAGCTTGTCCCCGCAACGCCCCTTCTTCAGCTAGTAGAAGCTCACCCACCTTTAAAGGCCTGGCCGCCTCCTAACGGGGAAGGCAAGACCTGACAGATCCCCTTCTATGTTCCAAGCACTTTGTACAAAGTTCTATCATCACTTACATCATTGGTCATTTAAAGGGGAATCTCCTGTATAAAACTGAACTCTGGGAGGACAACACTATTCTACATATTTCTGGATTTCCTCACTCCCCTCTCCCCAAGGCAGCATTCCTACTTACCTGAGCAGTTTGACAATTCTTAGTTTTATTCTCTTCTTTTTCTTCTTCTTCCTCTTCCACTATCATTTCATCCACATGCATTACCTTTCGTGCTATTAACAGTTGGGAATAAACTTCCAAGCATTCACATTTCTCAGAGAAAATAAAACTTAGGCAATCATAGGCTATACTCTAGAAATAGGCCCAATATAAAGAAAATGACTTTTAAAACAGTTTAGGAAAATACCGGATGGTCTCACTCATAGCAGGAATCTAGAAAACTTAAATAAGAGACCAGGAAAAGGAATAACTATAAGAAAGTGAAAATCAAAATCAACAAAAAACTATGAACCAGAGACACTTTTTGGGGGGCGGGGGGGGGAGGGGAGGGATTGGGGTCAGAATGGGGGGGCTGCAATTGTATGGGGAATATAAAAATAAAATTTATTATTTAATAAAAAAAAAAAAACAGTTTAGGAAAAAAAAAAGTCACAATGGTTAAGAAAGCCCCTATGATCCCTGGAGTGGGCAGCCTGGCTTTCTGATGGAGTACACGCCAATAGTCAACAGCACGAGCTTGAAGCCTGGCCTATTGCTAGCTAGGTCTCATGGCTCATCGTGGTGCCTCAGTTTCCTCATCTATAAAAGGGAGTAGTCATTTTATACAGCTCATTTCATAGAGCTCATAGAGTAGTCATTTTATAGAGCATAAAAGACATGCTGAGTTATTCTTTTTACAGTTCTCTTCTAAACCTGCTGTCATGTTAGGGGAGTCTCACATGGCTTCCCCATGCCTCTCTAAATTTCACTCACCTCTCTAACTCGGGCAGCAAGCAGACAACAGTGTTTGTATATCAGCACAGCCTTTTTTTTTTCCTCCTTTCACTTCCATTTAGCTCTAGTACTAATGTATCAGTCTTTTTTTTTTTTTAAATATTTATTTTATCTATTTATGCATACAAGTACTGGGGTATAGATAGGCTGGAGGTGCGGAGGGTGAGAGGATTCAGCAGAGAGAGGGAGCAGAGCAGGCAGATCTAATGAAATACACTGCTGAAGCAAGCAGTGGGCCAGACAGGAGAGGTCTGCTGCACCATGTGGGTCCTGGGTCCTCGCCAGGGGATCAAACTCATGCCATAGTGGCTGGTGATAGTTTGATAGCGCTGAGACTTAACCCCGGCCCCACCAGGGATGCCCTCATGTATCAGTCCTAAGAATATCAATTCATTTCAGTCCTGCACACAATTAACTGAATGTTTAGATTTACAAGACAGAGGGCCAGATATTATAGGGAAGGGGTTCCACCAAGGAGGCCCTTCCTGAGCAGCTAGCCAACCACCCTAGGCTTTGGTTCCCTCGGGGTTCTGAAAGGGGCTCTGAAAAGTACTCACACTGGGCAGATTTCAGGGGCATCTGAATAGCTTCTGTTGTTAGTTTGTTTATTTCTGTGATATCCAGGTCAGCCTGTGACAAATACCAGGCACATTCCATCAAATATAAGGAATAATACTTTAAGACTTAAAAACAATTTAAAAAACTATTATTTGAAACAAAAGATTGTTACATGTTAGATATAACACAATATAGTGAGCTCCCATAAACCTACCAGCTAATGTGTTTGAGGAACTGAGTTTTTAATTTTTTTCTTTTCAATACATATGAATAAGGACACATGGCTGGTGGCTACTGTAATGGATATTGCCTCCCCATCTTACTGCCTTCAGACCTGGTACTGAGAGTGGGAAGGATCAGTGTGATGGGTGGGGAATCCCGAGAGCCCCAGAGCACTGACATGACAGAACAGCAATCTCTTTGTCATCTAGCAGGTCAGGTCACTGTGTAATACCCAGTGGACATAAAGGAACCGGGGCTCAAGGTTTTTACCTTCTCTGCAGAAGTCAGGGCAAAGGACTGTAAGAAACCTGCCCCATATAGGACTCTCCCTTCATAGGGCTTGAAACTATTTAGGCTTCATATACTCAGCATTTGACAATTATAGTTTTTTAGCTGACACAAACAGATAATGTCCCCTTGCGGCTCTTCCTCCACAGTTAAATATCCACTGGTTGGATTTGGTGACGACTAAACTTAAAAACCAACACCAAACACCACAGTTCAAAACTAGGACAGGCCACGTACCGCTGCTGCTTTTTCCAGGGCTCCTTTGTTTCCTCCAAGGGCTTGAAAAAGAACATTTTGTTCAGTTAACAACAGATTTTAATGATAAATCATTTTCCCAAATACAAAAATTATCTTTTAAAACAGTTAAGCCAAGTTAAGCCCTTGCACAACATTCAACATCTAGTTTTCGCAACCTAGTCTTTCCCCAAGCTTGATTCATCCCCCTCCTGACCTCGTCTACATGCCCCCACGTTAAAGTTTATTTCTCCAATGTGCCACAGTCTCTCATGACATTATGGCTCAGTACTTATCATGTCCTCTGCCTGAAATACTCCTTTGGACCTGTCAAATAACTAATTCATTCTCCAAAAATCAGCTCAAACCCAAAATTCTGTTATTTTCTATCACAACAGGTTGCTGCCAGTCTGAGTTAGCTGCGCACACGCATCATACCCAGTAACTACCCAGAGCTGTTTAAGTGTCCAGCCTATCTTCAGATGAATTCCTTGAGGACAGAAATACTATCCATAGCTTCTGGCAAAAATGACATATGCAAGGTTTGTAATAAGTGATTGGTGAATGAAGAGGTCTTGGCAGATTCAGAAAAAAACAAGTCCTCCTGCTAGGAACCCTTGTAGTATCTTATATAAAAGTTAAGAACTCAGGTTTTAGAACCAGAAAACCCTGGATTCAAATAGACTCTGCCACTAACCTGTCTGTGAACCCTTGAGCAGAGTACCAATCTGTGTGTCTTAGCTTGTCAGCTATAAAAATATGAACGAGGACCAAGTGAAAAGCAAAATTCAAAGAATGCAACTCCTGATGGAAAAGACTCTGGTTTTCCAAGCCCGACAAGGGTGGGGATAAAATATTTGTGGGGATAAAATTAGTTCCTAGATGTAAAACACTTAGTAAAACCCCCAGGCTTACACAGGAAGCATTCCAAAAGTGTGCAAGAGACCATTATTCTATCTCTTTTGTGGTATTTGTGATAGTCATGTGTGAATTTGAAACAATCCTTCTTTACTAACTTGTTAAGTTCCCGAGGGGAGGCACAATGTTTGTTTGATTCCCCAGTGCCTCTTCAGCATCTAACACTGTGACTGACACATGCCCAATGAATATTTGTAAACAAATAGATTTGCAAACAAATATTTATTAACCAATAAAAGGTTCAGTCAAAGGATAATTAAATGCCCACTATGTGAGTAGAACATGCATTTCTATTCAGAAAGGAAGCCACATACTAATTAATAGTAAGGAAGACAGAAAAAGGGTAACCCAGCAGAAAAGACAGGGCTGGGATACTAGGATGGGATTTTTTTTTTTTTTATTCTGGCCAGGAACATCTTTGGCTCTTCCTGCACTTCATTTGATTTGCCCATTTTTAATTGACTATTTAATCAATTTATACTTGCAGAACCCACAGAAAGAGCTGGTTGTGGTTATCCTACCATCAGAGCTCTGGTAACAAATCAAGTTATTTAATCATTTATTAATTTTTTATATGCTTCGATAAAATATCACAAAACAAAATATTTGGTGACACAGGGAATTTATGTGGGTTGCACCTTTCCTTGCATCCATAAGCACATTTTGCTGGAATACAGCCACACCCATTCATTACAGCTCCTGGAGCTACAATGGCAAAGCAGAGTAGTGGCTACAGAAACCCTTCTGGCCCACAAAGCCCAAAATATTTACTCTCCGTTCTTTAGAGAAAACGTGTGGCTACCCACGGGAGAGGGGCGAGATGAGGATGAGCGCTGTGGAGAAAACCTACGCAGGTGGGTGAGCCAGGGGGCTGGGGAAGCAGTAGGATTGCAATTTCCTAGAGCGGCCTGGGAGGACAGCACTCAGGTGAAGGCTGTCTTGGTAACCAGAGAGGCTCCAGGCCAAGCCCTGGGGAACCTCTGGCTGCTCTTACCGAAGTACTCCAGCCAGTTCATCTCGCGCAGCGCCTTGGGGTGCCGCATAATCTCCATTTCGTACAGGTTATCTATCTCCTTGAGGAGCTTCTCCCCGTCTGACTGAATTTGTTTGCTTCGTATTTCCACTGCGAAAGGGCAGAACAGACAGGACACCGGTTACCTGGCGGGTAAGCGGGGTCTGCAGTCGTGCAGCCTGAGCCCGACCCACCGGCGCCCGGCGAGCGCCCCAGACAGCAGCGAGGACGCGGGTTCCGCCCTTACCTTCCCGGTCGAAGTCCTTAAGGAAGGAGGCGAGCTTGCGGCTGCGGAGGGAGTTGGTCTTGGCTACCCCTCGGCTGCCCTTCCTAGCGGGAGCCATGGCGCGTGTCTGGAGGCTGTGGGGGGCAGGGGACCGAGCCACAGGGGTCAGCGGCAGGTGGGGCCGGGGCAGCGAGGGGGCTGCAAAGGGCGGGGGACGGCGAATGGCGTGCCAGGGGGTCAGTCGGGCACCCCAGTCCCTCCGGGCCTGTGCATCAGGAGTCTCAGGGCGCTTACCTGCTGGTCCAGAAACGGGGCTCGAGCTGAAGCCCCGCAGATCCCAGCGGGACGTGCGACCGCCGCCACCAAATTCAAACTGCCACAGGCTGACCAATGAGAACTCGCCGGCTTAAAAGCCCAATCACGAGGCAGCTTCCCTCTCAGGCAGCCAGTCCACAGGTAGGACTACAACACCCAGGAGGCTTTGCGCCCTGACGCAATACACTCGCGACCCAGCAGCCGTGTTGGGACGTGCGCGGGGAGCCTGCAGTTGCGTTGGTGGCGACCCCGGCGGGCCCCCGAAAGTTGATTGCCTTAGATTTAAGTTCTCCCGCTGGTTTAGGGAAAGCGACTGGCAGTCCCAAAGGGAGAACACAAGGCTCCGGCAACGGCAGGGGGGGTCAGGTGCGCGGGAGTCAGGGCTTGGGCCTACTCAGCTGTGACAGAGTGGGGCTTCCGGAATACCCGACCCTACTCGGGATATGATTCCTTCAAATGTAGATGAGGGTGTAGTGCCCCCATCTGGTTGGGCGACAGCACCCGAGGCAGCCAAGCCTCTCCAGGACAACTGCGCCTTGCCAGTTACCCTCCCTACTGATCCCATAGCCAGGACGGCTGGAGTGAGTCCCGGGGCTGTCAGGCAGAGTCCAGCACTTTTGCCCTTGACACCAGGATGGGGTGGAGACAGCCAGTCTATCTTAAGGAATGACAGGGGGTACCCCTTCCAGCACTCTCCCTCCTCCCAGTCATTCCTGGAAGGCGCCTTGGTTTCTACATAATACAAACGAAAGTCATTCTTTCTGAGACTGATACCGGGAATAGCATATTAAGGCCCCATTCCTAAAGATCCTGATCCAGTGTTGGGAACCGGTGGCTGCTGCACTTTTACCAAATGCTTCTCACTTTGTTGCTGAGTAACTCCCTAAGAAGTAGCCTTAATGCTGAGAAAAAGTAGCAGAGAGCAAGCCAGGTAGAGTAGCCATAAAGGTTGCACTTCTCTGGGGAGGAACCGGCCTTAATGCCTTCTTCATTACACTGCCTTTGCCTCCTAGCAACCAGTAGTCCTCAGTTCCAGCAGAACCTTGGTGTTGTCCTCCTAACCCCTCCATAGTTGTTGGAGTGGAGTGATATTTCTGTATGATGTCCGTGGTCTGCCACACCCATGTTCATTTATTCAGAAGCCTCCTTGTGCGTCCAGGACAGAACTAATTACTGATGATATAAAGATGACAAGTACCTGGCTTAGTAGGCCAGGCAGATGCGTGTGCCCACTGTGCATTCCTAGAGGATGTGCAGGAAATGAGGGGGATGGAGAATGAGTAATTCTGTGGGAGGCGAGTTGGGAACAAAAGGTAGATCTTCAGCAACTTCATTTCAGGGAGGATCTGTCCTCCTGGTCTGTGATAGAGCAGATGCAGGGGAGGGGCCAGCATGGCCCTGGTGCCATCACGTGAATGGGGGGCTCTGCGCCCCTAGGGCTCTTAGCTCCTGATTCAGATGTGTGCAGTGGTTCTAAATTTGCAGAGAGCCCAGACTAATAAATCCACTACTCAATTGTAATCCCCACAGCGTATTTATAGGCAGCAGCTGACTTTTATCAGCTAGTTTGTTCTTTCATATAAGCAGAGTTTTATGAGGGTCTCCTGAGCTGGCTCATAACGTGATGAAACGTCTGCAAAACTCAACCATAAATCCCCGGCACCTGCCAAGCAGAGGATGCTGTTTTCCAGGCACATTTTGTCCAGCTGGCGGCTCTGTCCCCTTGCCCAGTTTGCATTTTTGCACTTGTCTCTTTAAGCATGGATTTGTTTTTCAGCTCTCTGCGGCCTCTTTAAAGGCAACTGAAAAATGAGGGGTAGGAAAAAGGAACTAGAAAGTTACGTCTGTGCTAAAAATTGCCCTTGGCTTATGTTGCTCTGAAAGCTGGTTTTGATCCCTCAGCTGAAACAGAGACATCAGGCTTCCCAGCCACATGAACCCCAGGGCGGGGACTGGAGGACAGTGCCAGCCAAGCCCATTATTAATACTTTGATTCTTTTCTGGGCCATCACCCTTTGTACTTGCCAAAGGCCCCTCTCCTTGGTTGTCAGTTCCGTAAATTAAAGGAACAGCTCCAGAGGCCTTTTCCCCAGATGGTCTCCAAGCATGACATCTTTTCCCAGCATTTAGAGCACCCCCAGCACAGAGGGAATATTTAAATGTCCTCCCTTCTCCAAATAAGGCAAGACTTGGATTCTGGGAGGATGTTGGTTGGTTGAAGTGGACCGTTGCTTGCAAAAGCTACCAATGCCTCAGTGGGGGCATGTGGTCTGTCTCGGACTTAGTGAATTAGGCCCCAGGCTGTGCCCTCAAAATTATTCACCTCTGTGTCTATAGGTTGTCTTTATCTTGTCAGAAGACCCCTAGGCCAGGAGAGTACTCCCAAGGCTGTACTTTACTCAGTTTCCCTTGACCCCACTAGGGTGGCTTTCTGGGCACATGATTCCTACATACAAGGGTCCCCCAACTTGGCCCAATCCTCTGTCATCCTCTCAAAATTCTTAATAGTATTTGAACAAATGCCGGGTTTTCTCTGTGCACCAGGTCCTATAAGTTGTGCCAGCCCTGCCCCTGTTCCTCAGACACTCCTGGAGTAGCTGCCCCAGAGCTGTGAACAGAACTCTCCTCCCAACTCCACATCTGAGCCTGCGCAGAGCAGGTTCCTTGCTTGTCAGTGAGGAATCTGGCATTGTCCCACTCCCAAAGGCTTCCGTTAGCCCATCTTCTAACTACAGCCAATCCCTTTCACGTGACAGTATCTCTAATGGCCCTGAAGTGTCTGCCAATCCCATCTCATTAAGTGTCATCACCTGCTCATGGCCCTTTATCACCTTCCAGAAGACGCTTCTAGTTAGTGTGTTCTGTTAGGAGGAAGCTGCCTGCTCTGAGAGAGAGGCTGAGGTCTCTGCTGGAAGAAACAGCTGTAGCCCCACCTCCACCTCAGTGGTCAGATGGGGTCCACCGCTATGGGAAAGGAGACTCACTTTATTTTTCTGAGCCCAACTGAGACACCTTCTACCAGGTAAAGTCTTATTCCCCTGTCAGACTAGCCCTTCCTTTCTCAGCATGCTACTTGTATGTCTGTCACTTTATTTTTTGTATCCATCTTACATCCCAATTGGCTGAATAAGGGGCTCAGCCCATCTGAGTTGCTGAAATGCTAGAGTCCTTGGCAGCTGCCCGGCATGGAAGAGAGACCCGCCCTACCTGCTGGGGTGCTGCAGGGTGGTGGCAGAGCTGGCTGGCTGCCTGTGGCCATTGCCTCCCATCAAGTCCAGGTGTGAAAGGGCACACCCTTAGGCATAACCTGGCTTGACCACCTAGGAGTGTGATGGGCTTTACCTCACTCACCTGTAAAATGAAATGAACTTATTCACAAACACAGATAAGGCGCAGCACACACTAGGCTGGTAATATGTGTAGGTTTTTCTCCCCCACGCCCAGCCCCACCTTACTGTCTGGAGGACTTGAGGCCATGGCTGTTTTCTCCTCTATTGGGTACCTGCTGGTCCCTGGCTGCCTGTGTCTAGGAGCTGAGTAGGGTGAGAAAAGCAGGACAGGGCGGGAGAGGAGCCCCACCCCAATGATAAAGAGCCACAGGCAGGCAAGGCAGAGCCTCCTCTCCAACCCCGCCTGGCTTGAGCTCCCAGATCCACCCAGCGTTGCCACACCAGAGGAAATGGCGGTTGCCATCTCGGCCAAACCCAAGGACTGTGGCGACAGCCCTGACTGGGCCGAGCCACCACATCAAGAACAGCTCCTCCCGCCTCTCTGCACCCCTTCCCACCTCGGGCTTCACTGCCCTCTCCTTCCCGAAGAATCCAGTGCATAACCTCTCTTGGGGCCACAGGACTCTGGGCTGGCTGGTGCTATGGTGTGGAGAAGCTTCTGGACATCTGCCACTCACCCCATGGGACCTGAGCAGGTGATGTGACCTTTCTAGACCCCTGATTGTTATGTCCCCCTGACAGCCACAGGGATGAGCTGAGCCCTCGTGTGGCTAGCACTGGCATCATTCTGGGCACCTTTTCTCACACTAGCACCTTCAAGAGTTGCTTTGGGTTGGATGGTGGGTGCTGGCAGCTTTTATGGGGGGGCAGCAGTTCACAGCAGAGGTTTGTACTTCCCAGACATGCAGCGGTTCTGGTGATGGCTCAGGTTCTGCAGCCTGGCTCAGGTAGGAGCAGGTGTATCATTTCCTGGCTACACTTGCAAAGCCAGGCCAGCCATGTGAGCCTCCCCCACCTGGTGCACTGTGTGGCCCTGTCTCATTTCTATCTCTGTCCGCTGAATCATGATTCTCTACCTGTTGCAGGACCCCAGAATTCCTTGCCTCTGCAGTGGGGGAGTGTGCCTGTGCAGCAGCAATCCTGCAGAGGTGTTTGTGAGAACCTTCCTCTGTGCAAACTTTAGAGCCTGTCGCTTTGATCCAAAGCCCAGGATCTGAGAAGGGCACATCTCTCCAGGTGGACTGCAGCCTAATAGCTTCCTCCATCCCTTCAAGCCCTTGGCCTGACTGCCTGACCCAAGAGAAGCCAGGCAGGACATGGAGTTGCCATCTTTACACCCCGGGTGACTCGGACCAAGAGAGACATAAGCAGTCTCCCTAACAGTGAGGACTGAATTGGGATCAGGGCTGCTCTTGACTGCAGTTGGAGTCACCTGGGGAGCTGTATAAAGCAGGGAGACCTGTGTCCACCGCAAGATTCAGATTCATTTACCCAAGACGTGGGGATTTTAAAAGCCCTCCTCTCGGCTACTTTAATATGCACAGAGCCCCGGAATAAGCACTTTGTACAGCTTGCTCACTGAGGAACCTTTTTTGGTGTCTCCTGATATATCATGCCCATTGTTGGGCCACGAGGAGAAGGAGAGTCTGGGCTTCTACCAGCCTGGGGCATGCATCCTTGCAGGCAGGAGCAACATAAGCAAGCATGATGATCATTTCAGTCACTAAGTACCCTGCAGGACTTGAATAGTAACTTGATACAGCCCCTCGGTCTGGGGGAGAAGAGGCAAAGAAGACTTTGCGCCAGGCCTAAGTGAAGTAAAAGATCTGTGTTACCTGGAGTGG